ATTGCCATTATAGAACTGGGATTCTGTTTTCTTGCTCTGCTTTCAGTGGTGTGTGGTATTTTACCCTCATGCTTGCAAGATAATTGGTATACCCCTGATATGGCAAGTGAGTTCATCGAGAAAGGCACTCACAAGAAAACCAAAAAGGCATGAACGAACAAAGCTTTATTTGAGCTGGCTGACGGACAGTCTCTAACCAGGAGCCAGAGATGTCTGTGCAGATCTGGGTCTCACCTTCAGTTTAAGTACATTTTAGGTTTCCATAGTAACCATTACCTCATTTTTGGGAATCTTACAAGAATGTCACACAATTATCACAAAGTTTGCTTCTCCCAGAAGGTCAGACAACCACATTCCAAATGACCATTGCAGTTTAACTGTTAGCCCACTTCCCAATTTGCCCTGTTTATTCTGTTCCCATTTATGACTCTGCTCCACTGAGATGATAACTAACCAAAGCTACTGGGGTGAACTATAGTTTAAGTGAACTTTAAGTGACTTAATATGCAGTTAAAAACAGAAAATAGAGTCTCTCTTGCCTTAGCAACCCAGGCATCATGTCTTTATTCCAGAGAAGAGGCTGGCTCCAGCGACATCTGTCTATATTCAGTGTCCAGAACTTCAGCACATGGCCACACAAGGCTGCTGTGGAGATCATGTAACTCAATGGTTCATATTCCAAACAGCATCAGAAGGCAAGGGAGAGATGCTGAGTGAGTGAACCTGTCACTTATATCCAACGTTAGGATACAAGTGAGAGATGTTGCAGGGAAATGGGTTGACTTTCACGGGAATGGGTGGATCACGAGGTAGCAGAGGTCAGGTAGCTGCAGTATGACAGGCCAGGTGGATGTGATTATCATCGGCAGCAACGCCAACACATTAGTTATCACAGTCTTGACTGCAGGGAGCTTTGGTGCTGCCTAATTGCGGCGTCCTTAAGACAAAATGACATGGGCAAAGACCCTATTCTATTTTTTCATCATCATCGTCGTCATCACCATCAAGCTCCCTATTAATACACAATGTCCTGGTTGGGTCATCCCAATATGGTCATAGCCCTGGACCCAACTCTTAGGCCTAGGGCAGACTGAGAATGAGGAGTTCAGGGGTCCAGGGAAAGGCCCTGCAGTAATATCGCGTGTACTCACTCTGAATCTTCCTCCATCCCTTCCCCCGAGGATCCAAGGCCACTCTCCAGCCCTTTCCCTGGGCCCTGAGAAGTACCTAGGCACTCTGGAGACCGTCAGGGATACAGGGTCTGCACTCACTTTCCTTCCTGGAGACACAGAACCCCACTGTGATGCACCTATCAGCATGAGCGTACTCCTGCTATATTGCGGGGCACCCCTAACAAGAGTGGCAATCTGCCAAGGGAGAATTTTAAAAATCGAAATGTACTGCACTGCTACAGAAAAACATAAAAACTACATACTAGTGGGGTAATGTGCTGTTCCAGTAATCTGTGCATTATGTCATGTTCAAGCAAGATTACACAGACCTCATCACTCTTTATGATAAAAACTTTATAATCCTTTTTTCGAGCTTCTTGCAAACTTTTGAACACTGCTGTTACCTAGATTCACCCTATGGGGTAATAGCACACCAGAACTTCTTTCTCCTATGGGAGTTTTCTTCTTTTCAGTATTGGGGATTGAGCCTAGGGTCTCACACATATGAAGCAAGTGTTCTATCACTGAGCTACATCCCCAGCTTTTATTTTCCTGAAACAGGGTCTTGCTAAGTTGCCCATGCTGGCCTTGAATCTGTAATCCTCCTTGCCTCAGGCTCCCAGATAGCTAAGGTTACAGGCATGTGCCACCATGCCCGGATGGGAACAGAATTTTTGAGCAACTGATCCCCTTAATTTCATCAGAAGAGTAAAATGTCTGATATAAAAATATGTGCTGATCCATAGGTAGTAGCTAAAAAGCAGACTGTGGTTAATTTGGAAAGAGCTTGACTGGTCATGAGTTTTGGAAAGGTACAGCTAGAGTTCTTAGAATGGGCCCAGTGGTCTCAGAAAGGTCTGGCCAGAATTCTTGGCACAGGCCCAGAGAATGTTTCCTGCACAAATGGTCAGCCAAAAGCCGTCGGAGCCTTTAAGGAGCAGGTAGCCTAGATACCCTCTTTACGAATGCCAGTCAGCCTTACTCCCGGCCACCCAGTGCTTATTGAATGGACTGATTTATAAAGTGGCCAAAGCAGCCGGGCTGGGAGTCCTGCACGGCCTCGCAGTGTGGATTCCCCTTTGTCCAGACAGCCTGCTTGGTAGCAGCAATGATCACCCTGCACGTCCACTCCAGGGGAGTCCAGGCCGAGCCTGGTGGCTGGCTGATTACACCTGACTATTTTATTGCACAGGAGGGAGCAGTTTCTGGAGACGACACACTGGAATGTGTTTGTGCCATCCCACACGACACTGCCTCTGATCAAGCCAGTCACTTTATACTGAAACGAATAAGGCAGTGGGCTACCTTGGAATTCACTGGGCTTAAGAGAACTATTATGACTCTGAAACAGCTGAGCTTTGGGGAAACAATTATTTTTGAGAGTACTGTCTTACAAGATGCCATCTATTTAGGATGTGCTGTGAACCAGTGACCACAATCCTAACACAAGTGCTCTATCACTGAGCTACATCCCCAGCTTTTGAAAACCCAGGTGCAAAGGCATTTGTCAGTTTTACACCTACTGATCCAAAGTATCTTTGCTGCTATCCTGCGACTGTAGGCTTTTCTAGATTAGAGATAACAAAGGAGGAATGCTCCTCCCAAGGGAACATATTGCAGAGTGCAAACATGGTGGCACAGAGGATGAAAAATTATGGAAAAATCTTGGAGTCAAGATTTAGTCAGATTATGGGGAGGCCAAGAGGGATTGATACAAAGTCTCAGCAAAACAGCTGTGAGCTCAGACCTCCTTGGTTAATTTACTTGTAATTCACAGACATAATAAAGATGGAGAAGAAAAGCATTTGCAACGTTTATATATAAGTTCTGGTCAGGGGACAGGAGAGGAAGAGGACAGCTTCCTATGTGACACATGACTGAGTTTAAGCAGTCTTACTGGGGCAAGAGGGATACAACAGCCAGAGCAGACCTCTCTGAGAACGACTCGCTTTTAATTCTGCTGGCTGTTTTCCTGCTGATCTGCTCTAATCTTTAACAATGCATGCCAGAAATCTGGGTGTTTTGGTTACTTTTCTTGTTGCCGAGACAAAATACTCAACACCCAAAGTTAAATGAAGAAGGTTTATTTCAGCTCACAGTTTGTGGAGGTTTCAGCCCACAGCTAACTGGCTCCGAGAGAGAGGGCATCAGAGAGGAGAAAGAGGTTGTGGCAGGCAGAAGGAGCAAGACAGAAAAACACCACGCAGCACGAGACCAGCAGCGGCCCTCTGTCCCTTACATCACTCCAGGCTACCCACCCGAAGCACTCACACTTAGGGTGGGACAGCCTTAACCCCTGCATCGTATCATGAATCAATCTCAGCATCACATCCTTGACCCCATCATCACACACCCTAGATCCAGCCACCTCTGAAAAGCCCCGCCTATGACTGTATGAGGCTTTGGGAGGACATCTCGATACAGGCCGTAACACGGTCAACTGCTGTTCCAAGGTCCTTTCCTTATCACACTCATTTCAATCACTCCTCTGGCCAGTTTCCCCACAGAGACACAGCAGTGATTCCACTTGGCTGGGGAGCAAAGGGGTCTGATGTTGGGGAGTCATAAACTGATTTAAAGGAAGAACACAAAGTTGCTGCTATACAGGCGATGAGAAAAACATGGACAGAACCTTGTGGTCTACAAAAGTGTTAATAGAAGACTTCTGCCACCTTAGATGGCAAGCATACAAATTGCTCAGGGAGAAAGGTTTCAGGCCATCCCACTTAGGGAAGGTCTAATCCACTGACACGTTGGCTGAAGTCAGAGAAGCAAGTGATGGAACAGAGAAGGAAAAGAGTATCAGCTCTGGCCTCATGATTAGCTCAGAAATGGCAGTGGTTACCATCTGCACAGCCTTCTTCACTGTCTCGTGTGCTTAGCCGTACATTTTAATTAACTTTTCCCTTTGCCCCTTACCCAATTACCACATAATTAGACATTAGATACATAGTTCGTACGGATTTAACAATACAGTTTACAGATCAAGAGAATTCCAAGATGACATCAACCATGAGAGGAGTGGACATCATTCAAAAGGATCCTGGGCTTTCTGATGGATATGGTGTATCTTGGGGCTATGACCTCATTTCCTGTTGTAAATTTACAGTTCATTTAAGTTGTGTATATTTGGATCAGCAGAAAACAGGAACTTTTCATAAACAGGAAAGTGCTAACTGTAAAATTTGTCAAGCTGGGCGTGGTGGCACATGCCTGTAATCCCAGCACTCGGAAGGCTGAGGCAGGAGCCTGGGCTACAAACTGAGCTCAAGGCCAGCCTGAACTGCATAGCAAGACCCTGTCTCAAAAAGACAAAAAAAAAAAATTAAAAAAATAAAATTTGTTGAATGCTAGAAAGGTGCTGAATGTGCAACTATTAGTTCTAAGAAATTTCTTTAATTATAGTTTCTACTGTTTCATTTTCAAGGAGAAATACCTACCACTGCTTGGTCAGTAATAGTTCATTAAGGATTTAATATACTTTAAGGGAAATAAAATACAGAATCTGTAATAAATATCTCAATTTATTCAACAATATTAATCTAAAGTAATCTTGATCATTACACAACACAGCATTTATCAATCTGTGATTTTATGATTAACCAAACGTCAAATTAAAAAGAAATTTACAGACATCATTTTCTGTAGTTACAACATATGGACAAGCCACCAAAGAAAAAGAAAAAAACCCTCACTAGTACATTTTATGCTAGAGTTACTTTCTGTCCAGGTCGAAACAGTAGTCCACTTTGACTTTTTTTCTTCTTTGGATTCTGAAAGCTTTCATACCTTAAAAAATAACACAGATAATATTTAGTAAATGTAGATATTATAATAATCAGAGATAATAGATGCTTGCAAACAGGATTATATACATACATAAATCTACTTGTATTTCATCTATCCCTGTATCTATGTATCTTCCTTTCTTGAGACAAAGTATCAATACAGGCTGGCCTCAAACTCCTGGGTCAAAGTACCATGAGCCTCCTGAGTAGCAGGGAGTCCAGGTGCACCACCAGCCCCACTCAAAATTGTATTTTAAGAGATGAAACGGAAATAACAAACTAGAAAAAACTTTGTAACAGATTAAGGAAAGGTCTTACAGATAAATTTTCTTTCTTTTTTTTTTTCTAGTACCGGGAATCAAACTCACGACGTTGCGCTTGCCGGGCAGGCGCTGTGCCGCTGAGCTAAATCCCCAGCCCCTACAGAGAAACTTTCAAAGCTGTAATCTAACTGCAAAAAGGAGCAAGGAGAATGAAGAGAAAGAAGGAAACAAATGGCAATGAGTAATATGAAAATTACAACACCTATTGTTTGATCAAACAAATGAAAATCGTTAAGTAAGATACCATTCTTCTGCAGTTAAACTGACGAAGGTTAGAGACACTGCAACACTCCGGACTGGTGCAGGTAAGGACGGGCGCTCTTATCCTGCTGCTGAACTATACACTGTACAATATTTCTGGAAGGCAATTTGGCAATATATTTCCTTTGTTTTTTTTTTTGGTACCAGGGGTCAAACTCAGGACCCTGTTGTGCTTGCTAAGCAGGTGCTGTGCTGCTGAGCTCTATCCCTGGCCTGACAATACATTTCTTAAGCCTTAAAAAGTGTTAAGTACCCTGTGATACAACCATTTAAGGACCTAGGCAGACACTGAACTTAAAATAGTCCTAACCAGACTGCTTGTCACAGCAAACACCGGGAAGCAATTTAAAGACCCCAAATTCAGACAGCGTACTACATACACAATGCAGTGACACGACAAACAACAAAGCAGTAACCAGTAACGTGCAAGAGCGCTCAGGGTGAGTGGACGGCTACGAAGGAGGGCAGCAACACAGCGACGTGCGCAGCATGTTCTTACTTTGCTACAAAAGGGACGTATCAGCGTACCAGTCATGTTGGATTAAGGGAATTTCTGGGTTTTTAAACTTTTCTGAGCCGGCGATATAGCTGAATGGCACAGTATCTGCCTCATAAGCTAAGGTCGTGGGTTCGATTCCTGGTACCAAAAAAAAAAAAATTTTCTGATTTTTCTAAAATAAGTACTTACTGATGTATGTATACATACACATGCTTCAAAGTAATGCAAATAAAACAAGATTTGAAGTATTTACTCTTGAGAAACCAGAAATAAATATTTCTTGGATTATGTTTAATCCCTGATACAGAATGGCTCCCACGTGATGGGTCTCAGCCTCACAGGTGGCCACAGAGACAAGCTGCCTAAAAATCTTAATGTCTTCATAGTCCACAAGTGAAAACATTTCAAGATAAATACCCCTGAGATTAATAAAACATAAATTATTTAAAAACTGAAATGGCAATTTTTCCATAAATCTTGCAAACCATATAGCTGGAATCATTTAGAGCTCTTCATCAAAGTTTCTAAATTAAATTAGCTCACTGCAAATAATTCAAATATAATCAAATGAATTGGTCAATTAAAATTCAGTTTGGACCTCTGTGCTCCTGAAGCTTCTGCACGTCTAAATGCTCATCTATTACATACCTTTTGTTTTTGCCATGCTGGGGAATCAAACCCAGGGACCCACACATGCTAGGCAAGTGTTCCACTACATACATTTTTAAATCAAGAAATGTATTTTAAATGAGAACTTCAAAAGTTTAAATGAATAAACCGGCGGTGGTGGTGCATGCCCGTTTCTCAGCACTCAGGAGGCTGAGGGAGGAGGACCGCCGTGAGTTCAAGGCCAGCTTGTACTATGTAAAGAGACTCCGTTTCAAGAAAAGATACATAAAAAATGAAACAAAATAAAACCCCCAAGAGACTAGAAAACCTAAGTTTAAATGAGTGCTGACACTCAAAGGTAAAGGGCAACTGGGATGTGGGAAAAAAGAAGGGAAAGAAGGAGAAAGTTTGTATGTATGTATATGCAGGATAGTCAACATGGCTGTTCTACTGTCTTGTATTTCTTTGCTGAAAGAAACTGTCAGTGAGTCCTTGGTTGATCAGCATTGCATGTCTATATCTGTTTTCATGAGAAACCACTTTGAAGATATCAATATGTAATACAACAAGCATTGTTAATTCCCTACCACTTTGTTTGTAACTCCGTACTGTCTGTACTGTTCCTTTGCTATTTTGTAAAATGTTGTCTGTTAATATTTTCCTCCTTTTATTTAAAAAAAAAAAAAAAAAGAGTGCTGACGTCACTGTGGCGTCTGTGTTTCCGTTTCAGACTCTCTTACTTACAGCTTGGCGAAATTCTTCCAGTCCTCTTCACTGATGGACGGTCTCGTGTGACCCAGGGCGGTCATTAAGTGTGACTGACTAATAGCCAGACTGGTTTTGACCGGTCCTGGTTGGTGAAGGGATTCATCCTCCTTAAATAAACGAGTAAAGAGTTAGCTCAGGATGAGAAGAAGTCGCAGTTTCATTTCTTTCAGGCAATTTTTCATGGCACCATCCATTCCCTTTCTTACGACTAACGAAAAGCAAGGAGGTACATAACCATCTGACTGTTTCCATTCCTGTTTATAAATGTAGCTCATTTACAAATCAAAGAAATATGTATTAAAAAAGGAAAAACAACTTTTAGAAAGTTTCAATAACTATAAAGAGTGGGGAAAAAAAGCCGTACTCCACTTTGGCTCCGGTATCGGCCTTTGATGACGCTGATATCGGCCCGCAGCTGATCTCGCTGCTCTGGGGTGAGTTCCGGGCAGCCCTCCTGCGAAGCTGTTCTGAGCGCCGCAGGCTGCGCGAACGGCGGCTCTCTCCCAGGAAGCCCAGGCAAATCCTGAGTCACGGAGCTGGGCGCAGAGAGACACTGCGAGCTCTGCATGTGATGAGGGAGAACAGAACAGGCAGGGCAGAACAAAGAAACCACGTGTTTATCGAAGTTAAAAATTAACACAGTTAAGCAGTAAACCTGAACGCAGGTCAAGTTTAATTTACTAAGATTAAGCAAGTTTAACGCACGCTGGCATTCTAAAGAGGTGCGTGGATACCGATGCTGCCGAGCTCTGTAGAGTGAGAACTGCCTGAACAAAGGGATTTGTTTTCTTTTCATGCTTTGCTACTTAACCCACCACACCCATGGCCCAGGACAGGTTGCAAACGAGTCCTACTCTCAGTCTGCTCTGAATAGTTCACTAAGGACACTTCTAGGTGCAAGTTAAGAAATAAGGGAGAGAATTAAAGACTAGAAAGAAAACAGTATCATCTTATTCTTAGGAATAAAACTGGGTAACTTTTATATTTTTAGAAACCTGAATAAAGCAAATGTACAGAAAGTATAACTAAATGTATATATAAAATGTTGTGTACCAAAAAAGTAACAGTGAATCACTACTAATTTTGGAGGGACACACACTGAATGATAAAAATTAAGTAGAAAAAACAATGATATTGCCCATACCTAATCTACATATTTTCCTTACTTATATATTACTACTTTTCACTGTTTATATTTTCCACAAAACAGGTAACGTTATTGTTAAACATTTAGAAGAAAATTTGTTGACATTATTGCTTAAAATCTGTCATTACCCCTAAGTGTTCTATGATAAAATTTTTACTACAAATACATCTGCTAACTAAAAAGCTTTTAAGCCCACTAAATAAGGGAGGTAAGCCGAGTGAAAGCAAATCACAGTCACTAGTCACTTTGGTTGTCCTTGCTCCCAGCCCATTTGAAAGTCGCTAATGAGGAACGAAAATCACTAGAGTATATGAGAAAAACAATACTCTCATTACTGAAGAACCCACCAATCATAAGAGTCCATGGGGCTGGTTAGGAGAACAAATAAATGGCTGACTTTACACCAACGTAACGTGCATGCAGCTTTACACTTGAGAAATGTGTAAGTAACAGTGCAAGATACCAAATCAGAAGAGGTTCCGTTTCCAAGTTCTGATTCGTAAGAGCTTCCAAAGTAGAGCCGGTACATATTAAATTTTGATTCATCTGGAAGGATCTCTGACATCTCTAGAGAAACAAGAGACTGATCTAAGCCACACTCTCCATCTCCAGCTGAGTCATCAGAGCCACTGCTGTGGTTCAGAAAGACCATCGAGGACAGACTCAGGTCACTATCAGAGCTGGAACTTCCATCCTGAGACACACAAAGGGAGAAGCTGTTGTAACGGCTACATGATCCACGAAACAAAGAAAGCATTCGAATGCAGTGATACAAGGAGACCCGGCGCATTTTCCAACAAACTCTTACTCATTCACCAGGTGCTGTGAGACATACAGTACAATTTAGTCATGCACACCTCTAATCAACCATGTTGTGTAAGTGCTTTCTTATGATAGAGTACTTCACAAATATGTGACTTTTTTCATCGTGGAAGATTTTAAATCTTCAATGGCTTGCCAAAATAAACAGCAAAACTTGAGTTTCTGGTCTGGAAACATTAGGGCCTGCAAAAATCTCTCATCAGATGTGTGGGACAAGAACATATATATATATGTATATGTGTGTGTGTGTGTGTGTGTGTGTGTATATATATATATATATTTTATACCAAAAATATATGGTAAAGTCTATAAGGTAACAATCTACTGCAGTAACTAAATCAGAACATCACCCTTAGAGAAAGGCTGATTCTAGGCCTGGGATACAGAAAGGGAGCACCTTGCACGGGGAACTAAGGAGGGGACCCAAGAACAGTGAGTCTTGTGAGAGCACAGGTGTCACTCACAAGGGGTCTCCTTGGCAGGGCTGGTACAATTTTACCTTCAAAATAAATGAAATTGAAGCTGATTATGTTTAAAAATTAAAGTACAAAACAAACTAAGAACCTTAATCATTTTTGTTAATATTAACTCATGATATCCCAATTTAAATAATATCTTTCCAAACACCAACACATTTTCGCTAATATTAAGATGACATTAAACAAACAGACAACAACTTCTTCATAATCACAAATTTAGATGTCTACAGTTTTACTGGAAGTGTTAAAAATAATATTTTTCTAGGTTGAAAACTGGACCTGGGCCGCTCGTGCCCTCTGACAAACCCTAACGCCCTCAGGAACTGACCTGCAGGCCGCTGCAGAGCAGCCTCGCGTGTAAGGCCTCCAACTGGGCATTGTACAGCAAAGCTTTCAGGTCCGCGCCGGTGAAGGAGTCAGTCGCGGCGGCCACATGCTGAAGGTCCACATCATCCGCCAGAGGCAGAGAGTCGCTGAGGACGTTTAAGATCTCAAGGCGTGACCCCTGGGGCAGGAAAATGGATGGATGGAACAAGTAAGAATAAAAGTATTGTCTTCAATTGTGTATCTTATGACTTTTTTTCATAAATTAACTTTACATATCTAACAAGCCTTACAAGTATGCTGAGAAATATACTACAAGTCTACAGCCTGTCTTCCTTAGATACTTTTCCCTAACAGAAGGGACACAGATATGAAAATCAACATTTTCTTTTTTTTGTCTTTTTGCAACAGGGCCTCACTATGCAGTTTAGGCTGGTCTTGAACTCACTCTGTAGCCCAGGCTGGCCTCAAACTCAAGTGATCCTCCTGCCTCAGCCCCCCAAGTGCTGGGATTACAGGCATGTGCCACCACCCCTAGCGAAAACCAATATTCTTAATTATCTGGTGTAAACAACTTTTTATGCAGATTGTGGATAACTTCTATATTTGGGCAGCTGTGCTGGTCAAAAGCTACACTATTTTAAATAGCTGCATGTGGCATCTATTGGGATATTTTATGCCTTTGACTATTCACATCTACTCATCGTTCATTCATTCATCTCTGGAGCTGAGCACAAGAGCTGACAGAGCAGGTAACTAGGGACAGGTGGCAAGTTGTATCTCTATGGGACCTAGCGACACACCCACTGTTCATATGTCTGACTCTGTGTCAGAGTGTTTCCACAAGGAAATGAACGAGGTGTGTGCTCTCTAAACACGGAATGTAGACATTCTAGGTTGTTTGCCTTTGTCCCCCAATCAGCCAACACGGAGGAAATCAAAAGCTTTCAGACTTGCGAAGAAATGGCTGAGTCTGACAGGCTTTGCGTGTAACGTGATCTCTGATGCTCTGGACAAGCAGGGACTACAGGAGCGGTGGTGAACCTCGGGCATGCATGCTTCGGGAGGCTATTTATATCTCAACTCACACCTCTGCCTAAGAAAATGGGTCTTCTGAGGACAATTGCTATTACCTGGCAGAAGCAAAGTTCACAAGGAAAGAGTGTAGCATTTGTTGGGTTTTGGACTCTAAATATGAAATTGTCACCTGATCAGGAGGAGGACAGTAAACACATTTATCTAGCCGACCAGGCCTGAGAAGGGCAGGGTCAATCAAGTCAGGGCGACTAGTAGCAGCCAATACATAAACACCTGCAGGGGGAAAAACAGGACAAACTGAAACCTGGGGACATTCTGTTGCAACAGTGTAGCAACAGTGTATTTCTGCATTTTAAATGGTTACCCTGTAAGCCTTCTACGCCGTCCAACTGGGTCAGGAGTTGGTTAACCACTCGGTCTGTGACTCCTGTATTGTCATGACCTCTCCGAGGAGCAATCGACTCAAATTCATCGAAGAAAAGAATGCAGGGCGTTGCAGCTTGTGCTCTGGAGAAACAAACAATTTGTATTGAAGAAGCCTGACAGTCTGCGACCCAGTGCGTGTGTGTGTATTTAATCTTTAGAACGGACCTTTACAGAAGCAAGGCATATGTGGCTGTCTTCGTTCTTCAGTGGCAGACTGGATTTAAAGAGGGCTCAGGGTGTTTCTCTAAGACTCATGCTTTCTGGACAGATAAAAGGGACTAAAGCCTGAGTCTTGGTCAGTAAAGTAACGATTTTTATGTATGCTCACTGTCCACCTTTGCTCTTGAAATACTTATTCATTCCTCTGGCCCACTCAAAAGTTGGCAAGCTCATTATTTTTGCACTGTTTTGTAAGGGCTTCGGAAAAATGTATTTTAGTTTCTTGTTTTACATTTTTTCCAATTAGAACTTTTTTTTTGGTACTGCGGACTGAACTCAGGGCCTCTAACTCGGGGCTAAACACGGGCTCTACCCAAGCTACACTCCCGCCTGATTTTAACTATGCTAATTTATTAACTAATCTTGTTTTAATTTTATTTAATTCATTCATTCCATCTCTGGCAAAAGGGGGACTGGGATATCTGGAAAACAGTCCCTAATACAAAACGCCCGTCATGCTGACTGAAAAAGACAAACGTTATCATGCTAAAAATACATGACGTTTTCTGAGGCCGCAAAACCAGCCTGGAATTACCTTCTCTGCTCCTTGACTGCCACGCAAAATTCCCCTAGAACACTAACACTTAGTCTCGTGTTTGATTTGTACGAAGGTTTTTAAACTAGTGACATCTTTGCCAGTGATGGTGCAGTGCAGATCTGTAATTCTAGCTCCTCAGGGGGATGACATGAGAGGACCACACGTTTGTCAGCCTGGAAAACTTCGCAAGACGCTGTCTCAAGAACAAATAGACATTCATTCATTCATTTATGGGTTTTGAGACAGGGTCTCGCTATGCAGTTCAGGCTGGCCTTGAACTATGTAACCCAGGCTGGCCTTGAACTGACAGTAATTCTGCTGCCTCGGCTTCCCGAGAGCTGGGATTACAGGGGTGTGCTATCATGCCTGGCTACAGAGACAATTTTAGAGTTAAGAGTATCTTCTTGGTGAACTAACTTTTATCAAGACATAGTGATTGTCTTTATTTTTAATAATGCTTTTTTTGGGTAATGTTCTACTCCTTAAATTGGGTAGTAGATACACAATCTCCATTTCATTATTCTTTTGAAAATTATGAGCTGGATGTGGTGGCACACACCTGTAATCCCAACCCTTGGGAGGCTGAAGCAGGAGGACTCCTGAGAGTTTGAGGCCAGCCTGGGCTACAAAATGCATCTGAGACCAGCCTGAACTACACAGCAAGACCTATCTCAAAAAAAGTATGTTTTTATATATATATATATATTCATTCTCTCAATTATATACTTAATGATATTTTAGAATAAAGTAATTTTTTAATTTAAAAGCTCTCCAGAACTCTATTTTCATCCTTAATATCTTTTATATCCTTAGACATTTTATGCATATCTAATAGTTACACTCTATTTTAATTAAATTAGTCATATAGAATATTTTTTTGAGGGGGGGGCTTTCCCTGGTACCAGGAATCGAACTGACGACCTTTCGCTTGCCAGGCAGGTGCTGTGCCGCTGAGCTAAATCCCCAGCCCCTAGAATTTTTCTTTATAAGACATAAATTAGAAATTTAAAAAAGAGAACTTAGGCCATAAAAAAGGAGCTACATCAGGTCAAATATCTGCTTCATGCAACCCTGGAATCCCAGCACTCTGAAGGCTGAGGCTGGAGGACGGCAGGCTTGAGCCCAGTGTGGGCAGCTGAGTGACTCAGGTCCGTGTGGAATAAAAAAAAGAAACGTAAAATAATGCCACTCTTGTCATCAACCTTATTTTGGAAAATATATATTTTTTCAAAAAACTGTGTTAATACAGTTGTTAATTAAAAAAAATGCTTAAAATATTCCATTTTTCATTTCTTTTTGTTGTTGTTGTCTGTTTTTTGAGACAGGGTCCTGCTATGTAGTTCAGGCTGGCCTTGACCCTACTACGGAGTTCAGGTTGATCTCGAACTCATGGTGATCCTCTTGCCTCGGCCTCCTGAGTGCTGGGATTACAGGCATGCACCACCACGCCCAGCAGTTTTCATTTCTAATATGGTAAATAATACTAGATTAATTCCCATAAACAAATTATTTAGGATCCTCTGCCTTTGAGAAAAGGAGTACTGACACCAAAAAGTATGATGGCTGTGGACCTAATCAAAACCCTCATTTTAAAGATGAGAAAACCACCCGGGTGTGGTGGTGCATGCTTTTAATCCCACCACTCTGGGGGCCGAGGCAGGAGGATGACAAGTATGAGTCTAGCCTGACCTTGTCTCAAAATAAGAATTTAAAGGGTCAGGGTGAGATGGAGATGTAGCCCAGTATGGAGGTCCTAGATTCAATCCCCAGTACCACCTAATAATAATATAATAAAACAATAATAATAGTAACCATCATCATATCATCATCCTGAGAGTTCTCTGAATAGCCACTTAACATTGCAGTTTCAGGATTACTCCTGAAATATAAAACCAAATAACCTCAAGATTAATTAATTAAGACAGGGTTTCACGATCAATTCAGGCTGGCCTCAAACTCGCTTATGTAGCCCAGCAGTCTGGCCTTGAGCTCCTCCTGCCTCAGCCTCCCTAGTGCTGGGATTATAGGTGTGTACCACCATGCCCGGCCCCAAATTTTAATATCAGAATATATTACATTTAAGTAGCGTTTGGTGAAACAGACTCTTTGTTCTTTATTAATAATTCACATAAATCATAGTTTCAAACATTAGTTCTTTAAAACAAAACAAAAAAGTACTGTTGGACAAATAATGTATCAGTTAAAAACATTCACAGGGAACCCACCGAATAAAAATATCTCGAACAGCTTGTTCACTTGCTCCAATGTATTTGCTGAGCAGCTCTGGACCCTAGTAGGTAAAAATAAGAGATCCAGTTACTTAAAAAGAAAATATAACTGTGGCTTAGACTGAGCCTAAATGATTATAGCTGATTTTTAACGTGATTATATGGCTGTCTCTCTTTTGGCTTTTTGAGACAAGATCTCACTATACAGTTCAGGCCGGTCTTGCACTTGTGGCAGCCTCCGGAGTGCTGGGACTACAGGTGTGCACCACCACACCCAGTTTAAAGGGACATCTCTCTAACATGTTTGAAGAAGACATACTAGAAAAAAAAATCTAACACAAGTCCTCTCCTCTGCCTACAACACCCCTGGCAGGAGGTTTTAGACTGGACGTGTCTACCTGTGCACTGATCTGTCTTTGCTCACCGCTGAGTCCCAGTCTCTGGGGCCACATGGTCGCTGGTAAGTCACTGGTTTAGAGAAGTGGTAACGGCTTCAGCAACTCCCACCATTCTCAAATCTTCGCAGACTCCAAAAAGATTGGAGAGAATAACTTACTCTACTCAGCACTCGCCATTACTGAAACCAGTTTGTGTAGGAGTTGAAGAATGTATTGTCTTTCCTAAAAGCCAACCGAAATAACTTTCAAACCAAACTTCACTGTATAAGCAACATCAATGAGTACAGTCTTTCCCTAAATTGAGATCTCTTTTTAAAAAACCCCAGTAAGTCCTACAGTGATCTCTAGTGAAAAACTGCTACCTGCTGGAGGCCAAATACTGATGAGGATATAGAACCAAATTAAGGAATTTTAACAGCCATTTAGACATCTACCAGCAAGCTACTATTTGGTAACATTCCTTCGGTACAGTCTGAGAACTGCAGGGTTCTCTCCAACAAGAGTCACTGAGGCAAAGCGTCAAGCCACAAGGTGACCGTGTCAGTGGGCGCCCACCTCTGACGGCTCTGGAACCCACACTGACACATTCAGCTTCCTGCTGTCACCTTCCCCTTGGACCACGTTCTGGGAGGGGTACACAGCCCCCGCTAACGGAGCCATCTAGTATTCACCAGCATTAATCTTGAAAATCCCATGTTTAAAAAACAGCGAAACCGCATTCTGGTGACAAGTGTAAACAGAAAACTATGGTCACAGTCATCGTTATCTCTGAATTTAAGAAAAGACAAGAAAACTGAAGTTTTAGTGTTTCTCCATCACTGCCAGGGTGCCCACTGACCCAGCTCACAAAAATCATGAAAGGGGACGGGCAAAGCCCAACGGCAACTCCCCGAGCTGGCCCTCAGGTTACTGTATGAATCGCTTCTGAAGGACAGGACACACGGTTGCTCCGCCCTGGGGAGGCAGCACCCTGTGGTCACCATAGGACACAAGACCCCAGGACTTGGTGCCTGCCGCGGTGGACGGGGAGGCGTGCCCCAGTGACCTGCAGCTCCTTATCACCAGGCAGCAGAGCCACAGCGAACCCAGCACCCTCCTCCTGTCCTCTCCCACTTCTGGCTTCCAATGTTTGTCTTCCTTTCAACCTAGCTTACACTTTTATTTGAATATTTATGTATAAATCTACTCATAATTCGGGAAAATTTGTTGTAAGAGTGTAAGAAGCCATACGAGGAGGGGGTTCATTCTCAATGTCTTACAGCCTAGCTGAGGACACTGTTCCCTACCAGCTCTCCAAGGAGAGACTAAGCCGAAATCATGAAGCGTAAGTGGTGTTGGCAGGGGCACAGAGAACCAGGAAACCCCACACGTTGCCGGTGGAGACATAAAATGGGAGCGTTGCTGTGACAAGGGTTTGGTGGTTCCTTAGTAAACTAAAACAGGGAATTATCCTCTGACTCAAGAGGAACGAAAACATAGGTCTACACAGCAGTTTGTACATGAATTTGTACAACACTTTGTACGTGCTGGGATTACAGGTGTGCAACATGATTCAGAACAGCTAAACGGTGGAAATAACCCAAATGCTTACCAGTGGTAATGGACGGATAGACAAGGTCTGGTGCTGGTCCGCAATGGACTGTGACTCAGTCATGAAAAGGAACTAACCCGTGATACAACTTGCATCAAGCATGAGAACATTACACTAAGTGAAAGAAGCTGGACAGAGAAGCGCACACACTGCCTGACTTTCTTCATATGTAATATACAGAACTGGCAAATCCACAAGGACAGAAAGTAGATTAACAGTGGCCAGGGAACGGGTAGAGGGAATGGGACGCAAACGTTTTGATACTAGAGGGGTGGCAGATGCACAACTTTGCAAATGCACTAAAAGTCAATAAAGAGTACACTTGAAAATGGTTAACTGTATGTTATATAAATACTACCTCAATTAAAAAACCAAAGGCAAAGGAATACGCACACATACCTTGACACTAATAAAATTCATTCCACTCTCCCGAGCAATTACCCCAGCTAGTAAGGTTTTTCCTGTTCCAGGAGGACCATAAAGCAATATCCCTGTTCTCTGTCGTATGGGCAAGTTTGCAAACAATTCCGGGTACTGAAAAATATAAGAAGAGCTCATGTCTTAACAGAAGGACTAGGTGGTAGCTGAAAATCAACACAGAGAAAAAAGGGTTCAGATAGTAATAACTGCCAGCTTTATTAACAGCACAATAGTAGAAAATGAAATTTTTACTAATCAGTGAACTCAGAGGAACTACCAAGACTTGTCCCAATGGAAACATGAAATGAACACTATATAAATGCATATAAGTGCATTAGAATTCTTCTCACATCTCTTTTTCTTTCTTTTTTTTTCATTGCTAAGGATCGAACCCAAGGCCTTCACACTGAGCTCCATCCCCAGCCCCCAAGTCACTGAGTTGCCCAGGCTAGGCTTGAATTTAGATAACTTCTCAGCCTCCCAGTGTCCTGGGATTGCAGGTGTGCACCACCACACCTGGCTTGTTTTAAAAAACATGAACAAGTACTACATTAAGAAAATAAAGACCAATCTTTTAGCAAATATACTGCCTTCTACTTGCATGGATCATGGAACAAGTTACGACAGTTGTGTAAATTCAAATACATTCAATCAAAGAAAGAAAAGAAATAATAGAGAAGGAGGTGCGATATTTATAGACAGGAAAACCTCCTAAGAGCCTCCAGGGTGAACACTGATGACTGCTTGTCCACTACTATCTACCTTAACTGCCGAGACAAAGGCCCTGCGTGAGATGAGCCAAACATCAGCCCTCGTCAGCAGGACCCTAGGCTCCTCTTGTGCACCCCTACTTGGTTCCCCTTGCTGCCACAGCTCCAGCATCACCTCCACTGCCCTCTCACCTGAAAAAGCCTCACAACCAGCAGCTGTGCGCGGTATCCACACACCTGAGCATTAACTCCCGGCACCCAGACCCAGCGTCTGGGGTCAGGAAGCTGCTGGTTGCTAACTCCACACCACGCTCTCTCACTCAGGTTCCACCTGGTCTTGGAGTGGGCTCAGCGTCTCCCAGGCCCAGTCAGTGGCCATTCCAAGGAGCGGCCATCCAGTGAACTGTGACCCACGCTCCTTACCTACTTCTTTACTTCCTGGCATGGCCCCTGATGTCATGCAACGACCCTTACCTCTCAGGATCCAAACACATAGACTCTACCTACCATCTCCTCTGAACAGAACCATCTACACCCACCCTCTTATCCTACCACCCACCTCACTTACGCTCCCTGCCAACTCCTCCCTTCCCGGAGAGACACTCATATGACTTCATCCACCAACACTGTGAGCCTGGCTGACTCTTTACCTTCTGGACTATTCTTATCTGTTTCAGCTCAAGTCCCAGCAGACAGTTCAACTGAATGATTCAAGCAGAAAAGAAAGATGAAGCTGACCTCTAAGTGTATTTACTGTAAATATCAACTGAACTTTTCCTTAGAAGTTTCTGACAAGAAGTACACCAAATACTTTTAAAATATGTTAAAGTACCCAAAATAGTGCTGGACATTTATTTGGAAATTCAGTAGATACTTGTTCAAACTGAGACTGGGCAGGCAGCACATGAAACCCAAGCTTGCTTTCTCTTTCTTCCTTCCTCTTTTTCCCTTCCTCCCTCCCGCCCTCCCTCCCTTTAAAGTACCTTGGCTGGTAACTGGATTGTATCCATGAGTATCTGCCGAACTTCATGCAATCCACCAATTTTATCCCAACCGAGGTCTCTAGGTTTATGCAAGTTGACATTTCGCAGAGATGCAGGAATAAATCCTTCGAGAGCCTTTTGGAAGTCCAATGTTGTGAAAACTAATTCTGTTTCAAAATAATCAAAACTTCTTTTGGTAGCCGTATCTCCATCAATGAATTTTCAAAATACACTTTCATCTTAGTTGGAAATGTTAATTTTCTACTCAAGTAACAGCTTACTTAAATACCAAACGCAGTATGTTTAATTCTGGCGCCACTACAATTTACATTTTTGCATAACAGAAAGTGGACTCCAAGTTCGGGATTTTCGTAAGACATACCTTCCCTAGTGGATATGTGCTGATGAGAGAGACAGGAATGAATGGCTCGGTCCACGAGCACTGTGAAATCTCTAGCCACAAATCCTTCCGTTGCTTTAGCTACATGCTGCAGGTCAAGATCAGTGAACTTGCTTGTGTCACAGTCTAGTTTATTTTTTATTATATGACACAAAATTTCATATCTTTGTTCCTAAAATAAAAGCAAAAAACTCAAATTGTTAATTGCATTCAACTGTACATTTCAACAGTCATGCTCTGCTTAACAAGGGGGCACGTCCGGAGAAACGCCTCATCCGGCCATCCCACCCTGTGTGCACACCATAACCCGCACCTGGACACACCTCGAGGGCACAGGTGAGTACCCGCTAGTCTCCTGGTACACAGTGGTCTACTGCTCCCCCAGACTGATGCTGCCAGACTGCTCTCGCCACAAGCATCCCGGCAGTATTTTCTCTCTCAGTTCAGCCTGTGCAGTTTCCACACATTCAGATGTCTTCACGCCAGTACTCCTAGCCTCAGCTCTCAGTCTCACATTACGTAATGAATAATAAAGACTCTTCAGTTGCTTTTTGGTGTTTATTTTGGGCACCTAGAATCGAACTCAGGACCTCACGCTTGCCAGGCAGGCGCTGCACTACTGAGCTAAATCCCCGGCCCCTCCTGAATTGTTTAAACCAGAGCTAAGAGGAGATTCAACAGCGTGGTGAAGTCGCGCCTGTTCTTTCAACGTCACGAAGAAACTCTTCGCTCTGGCCGTATCATGGTGCTCAGCTGGACATACTTCTGTGTCCGGACTGTCACCCAGGTCACTAAGTTTCTCCAGACCTGATACAGGCCCTCCTCAAATCTTTGCTAGTCCTGTGGCTCTTCAATGAAGCAGATCCTTTAACAACTTCTGTTATGTGGCCCTCACTCTTAGACGGTAGCTACCGTGGACTGGGACATGCCTGACTGATGAGCGCTAACCTCTGACTTTCCTTCTCTGCAATCCTGTATCACTGTTAATTTTCATTCCAGGCCAGACTTGCCACGGCCTCTGTCCGGCACTGTTAGCAGTGAATTCTGTATGCTGATGGGCCACAATGAGCAAAATAATGTGACATTAAATCAAGAAGAGAAAATGATTCAGTCAAGAGATATGGTAGACATAAGGTGTAGGAGGCATGACGGTTTACGGTACACTCTAATGATGAAAAGAACGTATAGTACTGTATTATCATTTTCAGGTATTATGTCCCATACATAGTTGCATGTATAATTTTTATTTTGCGGGGAGGTTACTGAGGATCAGACCCAGGAGTGTTCTACCACTGTTCCATCTCCAGCCCTTTTTACTTATATTGAAACAGGGTCTCACTAAGTTGCCCAAGCAGGCCGCAAACTTGCAATTCTCCTGCCTAAGCCTCCCAAATAGTGGGGATTATAGGCACACGGTCCTGGACCTGGCTGTGCTGTGCTTTTATATGACTGGCAGCATAGGTTTGCTCACAGCAGTACCACTAGAGACACACGGGTGATGTGCTGTGCTGGGATATAAGGAGGGTGACAGCTGTGACGCATCCAGGGTACAGGAATCATTCTGCTCCATGGCAGTCATACTGGACCCACCATGCATGTGGTCCTTTGTTGACCAAAATATCACTATGGCGTGCATGACTACACATAACTGAAGACACGTCAGGCTAACATAATTTGCAGTGACAGAGCTGATTAGTGGTCATCTGGGGATAACGTCAAGGAGGAATGGGTTGCAAAAGGCACCAGGAAACCTGTGGGATGATGGAAACGTTTCTGACCATGGTTGTGGTTTTCCAATACATATGTTCAAACTACATAAGCCGTACACTCTGTGTGGGTCTGCTGTACTTCTGTTCTGCCTCAGGAAAGTTGTAAAAAGAAGTCTCACTGATTTCAGTTTCTTTCTCCAGGAAGCAGTAGTCTTAGTAATACATGGTTCTGTTAGAAGTATTCTTTTTGTTCCTATGAAACACATTTCTAAAGACACAGTCAATGCCCAATGACGGTGCCATTCTATTACACTTAGCAACAGATAAAATACTTTTGCTCGTCAATAACAGGAAAAGTGCTAAATATTCAGGGTAGACTACAGGTCAGAATTTTAAGCAAGAACTTAAAATAAAATATGCTCGCCAGTGTTGTAACTTCTTTTAGCTCACTGCCATAAAACCCTTACGAGCCTGGGTGTCTACAGGCCACATGTGCATCTTTAAAAGACATCTATCCCCATCTCACTGTTTTATCTCATTCGGAAAAAATACTGTTTCCAGAAAAGCCACTTTCTTGGAAAATAACATTTTCCAGATCATTATAATGATTTCAGATCATTATAAATAACATTTCAGATCATTATAAATTATAGTTCATACACCTAGCATAATATGCACCACATATTGCTTTTAAGTGTTCTTAAGACACTTAGAAGCATTGTTTAAAGCTATAAATTATTAATAAAATAGAAAATAATTTCTAGTTGGGCGTGGTGGCGCACATCTGTAATTCCAGACTCAAGAGGCTGACGCAGGAGGATTACTGAAAGTTCAAGACCAGCCTGGGCTACAAAGTGAGCTCAAGGCCAGCCTGAACTGCACAGTGAGACCCTGTCTCAAAAAGAGATTCTATAAAGGGGGCCACAGTGCAATAATCTGTACGTAGCGCATTACCTGGTTAGGAGGCTGGATGTGCTGGGCACATTGAAATATGTGAATTCCTTGAGCAGAAACAAGTAAAGGATGCAGAGAATGCTGGAACTGGCTTGTGGCAATCAGGGCAACCAAACTTCCCATGGAAAAAAAGTCCTTCATCATGTCACTCACAGCTAGAATTAAGCAAGACAGTGTCAAAGCTCAGGATAAAGAACCATCAAAATTTAAATTCTATATTTACTAAAATAATGATAACCTCACATTGAGCTTTAAGATGGGGCAGCTCCTTTGTGCCTTTAAAAAATTAATTCATCCACTGAGGTATGGAGAACCAAGCTCTACCTCATGTAATGTAGATCCAAGAGCTCCAGTAACCTCAGACTATACTTAGAACCATGTCTAGTGAGGTGCCTGACTCCTGGATCTTACAACAAAGTAAATGAACAATAAAAAGGCACATGTGAAACGAGTACTTAGAAGGGCTGTGCATTTCTGCACTGTGTTGCGTTTACTAAGCAACATATAGCTCTCAATTCTGCAAGTTCCGGAGTAATCTCTTTCTTCCCTCGGTCTTACAAGGTCTGCAACTGAAACAGACATCAGTAATGTGAATTAGTGTGTGAATCTCCATCTAGAAATTTGCAGTACTCTTTAAACGCTAGACTAATAGATCCAGTGCTTAACATTCAGTGTAAGACTAGATAACACGAGTTTACATGTGCTACAGAATTCAAAGTTTGAGATTAACACTACTTCATGAAACCCAAGCCACCCCATTTACATTTTGCACCTATTTCAACTCTCAAGGCGCCTGAGGCAGCTCAGAGCTCGCCGAACCCTCCCGCCTCACTGCCCCACCAGCCCTGCCCTTGTCCGGTCAGCTCCAGCCAATGGCGCGCTCCCCAGCACACTGTCACCGCTGCACCCCTCTGGGCGGACCCCGCCTCCTTCCCTTCTCATCAGCACGACACTGCTTCATGCTACTTTCTACTCCTCCACCAAAACTCGGCCCACTTATCCACTCCCCGCAAAAGCCTTCCTTGGTAACTCCTCACCTCCAATTCCGGTTACATGTTCCGAAAGGTCACTTCAAGTACAGTACACCCTACCAACTGCTACTTGGTCACCTTGGTCCAATGACTGAAGCTCTCACAGTCCCACTTACTGACCTGAAACCAGGAGGCTCTCTGTACCCAGAGTGCAAGGCAACCCCTCACCCCAGGAAGGGCACTCGGTACACGGCAGCTGTCACTGTTACTGTCATGCCATACTAAAACTGTCTGTCTACTTTCTTTCCCTCGGCCCTGATTATATATAAGTACTTGACAAATATCTGTCAAATGAACAAACGCAAGAGTAAGTCTGTAACAACTTCTAAGAAGTTAAGAAGAGGAGCCGGGGATACAGCTCAGCGGCACAAGTGCCTGCCTGGCAAATGTCATGTCCTGAGTTCGATTCCCAGCACCAAAACAAAAAAAAGAAGAACAAAGAGGCCATTAAGTCCCATGGCCAGGGATGGTGGCCTTTTCACACTGTTCATTCTCTGCCAATTTTGCTAAGACAGAAGCTGCAGTGTCCTTACTGCCACAGGCCTCAAAAACACACACGGCAGAGCACTTCTACTGTTCCCTGAGGAGAGCAGATCTCACATCAAGGATGAAGATGCTAACAAGACAGGCAGCCTTTGGTCGGTGGAGGATGCATTACCGTGTGCGAGCCGCTGGCTCTGCGCCGTCTCAGGACTGTGCTCCTGCTCCGGGCTGGCGGGCAGTCCAGCGATGAGGTCCAGGTCGTCGAGCAGGACCACAGAAGGCTGCCTCCACACTGCCTCCGAGAACGCCGCCTCCAGGGCTCTCTGGATGTGCTCAGCCCTTTTTCCTTAACACAGAAAACGTGGCTGCGTTGTTATTTCGGGGTGGGGAAAGTTCAGGCCCCCTTCTGAAAGCACTCAAGAGCACAGTGCTGAAGGACGTATAAATATTCAGTCCCTGTCTTACTAATATACCAGTCATAAACACTTGTAAGTTTCACTACTATAGCCTCAAGGGACTCAGTAAAGTGCCAAACTTTATGACTAAGAAAAGGAACGTGCTACCATAATTTCTGTATGTACCCAGACTCCCTGTAGAGAATTTCAGGGGGCTTATACCAGGACAGCAAGGTAAGAACAGGATGAGGAAAACTTAAACAAAAGTAAAGGGTCGGGATTCAGGTAAAATCAAATACAAATGCAGCCGCCTAGATAGCCTAGAATTGCTATACCTGACTAAAACTCTGAAGCCAAATTTGCTACAGTTACAAAGTTTTAAATTTCAAAGAACAGAAGACAAATTCATAAGCTAATGTAAAAATGTTGTTACTTGGCTCAAAATTAAAATTTTTCTCAGGAGGCCTCCAGTAGGACTCTGAGAGACAGAGTGCTTCTAAAACCTTTAGAGCAGGCTGGGGATTTAGCTCAGCGGCAAAAGCGCCTGCCTGGCAAGCGCAAGGTCGTGAGTTCGGTTCCCGGTACCGGAGAAAAACCAAAAAAAAAAAAAAAAAAAAAATCAATAAAACCTTTATAGCAAATGAAATGATGTATTTTTAGAAACTATTTCCTGGTTTCTTATTATGCACTTGACTAAAACTTGAGATACAAGGACTAGTTCAGACCATTTGGTAGTGGTAGCTGAGGGAGAAACTGTTCAAAATAAGATCTCAATCTCTTGTGCTCACTGAGTAGATATGAATGTGAATGCAAAATACTTTAAAACGTAGAAAGGTGTCCGTCACATGGTAAATGGTAACTCTGCTCGCTGCTGTCCACGGCCACCCACCCTCCCAAGGCAAGCGCAAACCCTCAGAGAGGGCTTCCAAACACCACGTACATTCTAAACACCCGTATATATACTAAATACATGCCAGGAAGTCCGTCTACAGAGTTTTGGCTAGGAAAAAAAAATAGACCTTCATTAAACATTAGAGAAGTTTTAGAAATTTTCTCAAAGACATTGAAAACTGAAGATTTAAAACCTCTGAGGACTGGGCTGCGGATACAGCTCAGTGGTACAATGCCTGCCTGGCAAGTGCGTGGTCCTGAGTTTAATTCCCAGTACCCTGCTCCCCCCAAACAAACCAAACCTCTAAGGATTTGCCCAGACTGATACTTGGAACAGTCAGAGATTAGGCGGCATTTGTATTTATTAGAGTAACAGCTGTAACGATGCTCCAGTCCACCACCAAGGGGCTTTCGGTAGGGATTCCCGTACTCTACCTTTCAAAGCTTTACAGTCAACTACTTCCACATGGGCGTCCAGTGTGTCACAGGCTTCTTTGCAGACTGCCTTGGCTAGCGTGGATTTTCCACTTCCCTACAAAGTAAGTGTTTCATCAGAACTCGAGACACGCAATCACAGAAACAGTGTCTACAACTAGCACCCACCAAACCTCCCTCATCAGGAAGGAGGCACTGGTTTGCTGCCGTGCGGGATTCTGGTGTTCCTGAAACGTGGCCCTTCAAGCTGCTGATGTGCTAGGAGTGGATGATATCCTAGGCTCATTAGAGTGTGGAGATAGAAAATAAACATTTATACTGTACAATCTGCTAGTTAAAACAACCACTGATTTTTTTTTTTTTTTTAGTTTTTCTCCGGTACCGGGAACCGAACTCACAACCTTGCGCTTGCCAGGCAGGCGCTTTTGCCGCTGAGCTAAATCCCCAGCCCCTATTTTTTAACTTTCATTAGTTTACGTTTGTGATACGTATTTGTTTTGGGAAACTGGTGCATACATGTAGTGCACCTTCATCATTTTCATTCCCTCCCCCGCCTGAGCTCTCCTCCCTACCCCAGATCCCTGCGCCCCGTCTCCATCCACTTTCCTAAACATGATTTAAATCTACCCTTCTTTAGGGCTGAGCAGTATTCCACTGTCTATACAGACATCACATTGTCTTTTTCTGTTGGTATGTGCTTGTGACACACAACAACAATATTCATTTGGATTGGGACATATGAATATCGCATCCCAACCATTTTTATTTCTACTTCTAATCCTACCTTCCCTTTCCATCTGTAGATCCCTTCCTATCTCTATGAAGTCTACTTCCCTGTTTCCTATCATCTTTTATTTTGCTCCTAAATTATTTGTACTTTGGCTCTCTCCTGTAAAAGCAAGCACGCTGCATTTAACCTTTTGTGTTTATTTCACTTAGCATTATGGTTTTAAGATGCACCCGTCTTCCTACAAATGACTCACATTTATCCTCCTTTATGAGTGAGTAGTACCCCACAGTACCACTATGTAGTATAGTGGCATACACAGCAGTACCCATGATATATAATTTTCTTCATTCATTCAACTGTTGATAGGGAGCTTCCAGCATTTAGCTAATTTAGCTATTATGAAATGTTCTGTTATAAACACGGGAATGGTCTTTAACTCTTCTGGGACGATACCTGGCAGAGGCATAGCTGGGTCAAATGCAATTTCTATTTTTATATGGGGTTCTTTTTTGAGAAACTTCTAGGGTGATTTCCAAAATGGCTGTACTAACTTACATTGCCACCAACAGTGTACAAGGGTTCCTTTTCCCCAACAACTCTGCCAACATTTGTTGCTTTCTGAGTTCTTGATAACAGTCATTGTTTCTGGAGTAAGATGGATCTCAGCACTGTTTTAATTTGCATTTCTTTAATGGCCAAAGATGCTGAACACTTTCCCATGTACTTACCACCTGTATTACTTCTTTTGAGAAGTGTACGTTCATTTCAATTGCCCTTTTTTCTTTGGTGTTTTTAAAACAGGGTCTTGCTATGCAGTTCAGGCCGGCCTTGAGCTCACTTGGTAGCCCAGGCTGGTCTCGAACTCGCAACAATCCCTTCTGCTGAGTGCTGGGATGATAGGTGTGTGCCACCACGCCGGGCTTTTCACTGCATCTTTTAAATTGGAGCATCTAGTTCTTTTGAGTTCATGTATTCTAGATCAGCGATGGTGAACCTTCGAGAGACTGAGTGCCAAACTGCAGCCCAAAAGCCGTTTTTTATCACAAAATGTTAGCACTGCAATAAACCCAAATACTGATGTTTTCGTTTAGAAACACAACTCTACATTAACATCTTTTGTCATACAGGGAAAATATAAAAGCACACATGCCACAGGTTCACACCACTGTTCTAGGTATTAGTTCCATTTGAGGAGTAGCTGGTAAAAACATTTTTTTCCATCCAGCAGGACGTCTCCTCACTGTGTTGACTGTTTCCTTCTCTGTGCAGACGCTGTCCCTTTGACACAATCCATTTGTTGATTCTTGGTATTTCCCGTGCAACTGGAGTTCTGTTTAGAGAGTCTCCGCCTAGGCCTGCTCTGCAAGAGTGCTACCTATTTTATCTTTCAACAGCGTCAGTGTTTCTGTTTTTATATCTAGGTTTTTAAAAATTATTCTCATTTTATGTTAGCACAAGGTGAGACATACGAGTCTACATTTATTCTTCCTTATACAGATCACCAGTTTTTCCAGCACCAACTGTTAAAGAGGCTGTTTTTATTCCGGCACATTTTTGATGTCAGATGAATGAAGGAACACAGGGTTGTTTCTGCATCCTTGATTCTATTTCATTGGTTAACATGTCTTTTTTTGGCCAGTATCATGATGTTTTATTTTTAATTATTTATTTTTGTCTTTTTGAGACAGGGTCTCGCTATGCTGTTGACACTGGCCTTGAGCTCACGTTGTAGCCCAGGCTGGTCTCGAACTCACAATGATCCTCCTGCCTCAGCCTCCCGAGTGCTGGGATTACAGGTGTGGTCTACCACGCCTGGCCTATGACGTTTTAATGACTATGTCTTTGTAGTATAAGTATGAAAATTTGAAGAAATGTGAAATCTGTTATTGTAATGTCTCCTGCTTTGCTCCTTTTGGTTAAGACTGCACTGACTATTTTGGGTCTTTCCTCATTCCATATAAATTACAGGATTTTTTTTCCAGTTTTGTGAAGAATGTGGCTGGTATTTTGATTTGGAACTGCATTAAATCGGTGTATCATTTTTGGTACTATGGCCATTTTGACAGTATTGATTCTGCCTGTCCAGGAACAGGGATGTCTGTCCATTTTCTAATGTCTTTTTCAATCTTTTTTCACAGTGCTATGGTCAGCACAGCTATAAAAGCCGAATATTGATATTTTAGCTTAGGAAAACAACTTTACATTAACATCTTTTGTCTTAAAAGGAAAACATAATAGCACACATGCCATAGGTGTGCCACCACTGTTCTAGATATTACTTCTGCCTGAGGAGTAGCTGGCAAAAAAATTTTTTTTCCATCCTGTAGGATGTCTCTTCACTTCCTTGGTTAGGCTGATTCTGAGGTATTTAATTTTTGAAGCGACTGTCAATTAATTTAGTTGTTTTCCTGCTTTCTCTATGGGCCCACTGCTGGTGTACAGGAATGTTACTGATATTTGTCTGATGATTTGCACCCTGCCACTTTACTGATCTATTAGTTTCTTGGGTATTTTTTTTTTTTTTTTTGGTTTTTTTCAGACAGGGTCTCACTGTGCAGTTTTAACTGGCCTTAAACTCACTCTGTAGCCCAGGCTGGCCTTGAACTTGCAACAATCCTCCTGCCTCAGCCTCCCGAGTGCTGGGATTACAGGTGTGCACCACCACACCCGGCTCCTGGGTCTTCTATTTCAAGGATCGTGTCATGCCCCGATAAAGGCAGCCTGACTTCTTCCTTTCCTGTGTGTGTCCCTTTTACTTCTCTCTCTTGCTTGACCGTTCTGGCTGAAGCGTCAAGCACTACACTGAACAAAAGTGGTGCCAGTGGACACCCCTTGTCTAGTGTTGGGAAACTTTTCTCCATTTAGTATGATGTGGCAGTGCGTTTGTCATAAATAGCTTTTAAGTAAGGTTTTCTATACCTACTTTCATCAGGTTTTAAAAATCAGGAATGGATGTAGGATTTCATCAAAGGCTTCTGAGATGACGTATGATTTTTACATGGAGTTCTATGTTGCATAGTACATTTACTGGTTTACATAGGTTGAACCATTCTCATAACCTGGTGCGAAGCTGACTTGGTCACAATATATGATCTTTTTAATGATGTGCTGTATTCTGCCTGCCAAGTATCTGGAGGATTTTTGTATTCTATGTTCACTAAGAAATTTAGCCACTAATACTTAAAACCTTTAAAAATAGGTAATGCTTTATTGTTACTAGAAGGGAATAATATATACATTAAATAATTTTCTAAGTAAATGAAACATACTGCCTTTAATTTCAATGTTTTTGAAGTAGAATTTTTTTTTTGTACTGGGAATCGAACTCAGGATCCTGCACTTGCCAGGCAGGCGCTGTGCCACTGAGCTACATTTCCAGCTAATTTCAATGTTTTCAGTGGCAAATACTTATTATCCATTTCTGTATTGTCTTACATTAATTTTAAATAAGCATATATTAATTTATGTTCACTACTGTGACCAACAGAGCTTTCAGGTCTTAATCCAATGTGCACTTTTTTAAAAAGTAAAAACTTAGTTTTTCCTCATTATAAAATAGGAAAAAGTTATCGAAGTAAGTGAATAGTTGCATATTTACATTTCTGAATTAAATTCTTAAATTTCTGAATTAAAAAAAGCGCAAAAACAAAAACCATACCATACCCTTAAAAATGACATGGCACTGCGAATCTCAAGCAAGCAGAGATTCCACAGAAAGAAAATGGACTGAGGGTGCAGCTTAGTGGTGAACTGCCCGTCTAGCACGCAGCGGGCCCTGAGTTTGACTCCCTGCACAACAGCAACAACAAAGCAAACCTTCAAAGCTGGGAAACAGGGTCTCACAGCAGGTTCTGATCTGCAGGGACTCAAGGCTAATACGAAGAAACAACTTTATGCTCATAAATGCGACACTATTGAAGATCTGGACCAAGTCCTTGACAGCCACCAAGTACTTGTCAGACAAGATGAAACAGGCTATCTGAGTAGTCCTAGAAACATTAAGGAACATTAATTAAGCTAATGAAAGGCATCTCCAGGCCTGCATGGTTTCAATGAAGATTTTACCAAATGTTTAAAGAGAATAAATATCAATTTTATACAATATCTTCCAAAGAAGGAAAGAGAGGGGAATATTTTCCAACTCATTTAATAACGTATTACCCTACTAGCAAAAGCAAGCAGACAGACAGTACAAAAACAGAAAACCACACACTAATAGTTCTCATAAACTTAAATGCAAAACAGTTTCAACAGAACACTAGCAAACAGAACTCAGCAATGTATAAAGAATGATACACCATAACCAAGTAAATTTGATACAGTATGCAAGACTAGTTCAGCACTGAAAATCAAACAACCCTATCAATACTGTATCATAGTCTGAAAAAGAAAAATCATACAGGGGGCTGGGGATTTAGCTCAGCGGCAAAGCGCCTGCCTGGCAAGCGCAAGGTCGTGAGTTCGGTTCCCGGTACTGGAGAAAACCCCCCCCCCCCAAAAAAAAGAAAAATCATACAATCATTTCAACCAACACAGAAAAACTGCAAGAACATCAGTCTTATTCACTCCCCCAATACCTATAGGCAGGCACACAAGAATATTAATGAATACATGAGTGCTTTCTCTCTCTTGTTTTAACAAACTGTACAAATAGATCATCAGAATCCAAGAGAAGAATTAGGTTATTAATTAGTGAAGAGTAGATTTCAACCATGTACCTTTCCTCCAGTGAGTAAAAGGGCTCCATTCCTCAGTCCTGCCAGGAGGGACATGAGCTGCCGAGACAGAGGGCGTCCTAGGAGGCTATGTGTGATGTGCTCCAGGGAGGACTTCCCTATGGAATTCACACCTCTGAAAATACATAAATTGTTATGTGGTAAAAGCTGAAGCAGAGTAAAGTCTTGCTATAAAAACGCTGACACTTTCCTTCTGGATCTACTTAATGAATTTTAAAGAGTAAAATTTTAGGAAATTCTTTGTTCAACAAAACATATATTGACCAATGCTGTATCTGATTTACAGCTTTTACAATTAGTTTTACTACATTCAAACCTGTGCAGTGACTAACAGTTTGCTCTTCTGGGATTACTCAGGGGATCTGCCCTGACACATACACATTCCCCTACCTTCAAAGAATGTTTAGTTTGATAATCAATACAATCACAAGTGAAGTGCTTAGGATAACTGAATACTTATTTCCTCTTAAACATCGCCTCTGAAATCTAGTTTCAATCTCCATATTACTCAAACATGAACTTTAACCTACTTCCTGACTTTGACTACAACTTTATAATAGAAACAAAATAATTCCTAATATTAGAATCCAAAGAGATTTTGTTTTATATTAATGCATATTATGTTATACTTAATGGTATAATCTTTTACTAAAATATTTACATATTGTTCTATTACAGGAAATGAAATCACTATTCCACTTACTAAAAACCTCTTTGAAGAATTCTAGGGGCTAATGTATGTAAGATTTTCCTTTTGTATACGGAAATTAAGAGTGGTTGTTTTTAGATTTGCCCGTAAAGTTGAGAAAAGATAACTCCAATGATTATAATAATAAAATAGTGAAGGAATAACTTAATTTGAAATATTTTTAAACATTCAACTGACGTTTTTAACTTTTAAAATATACTTAATTGCTCTAAGAATTATTGTTTATTCATGCGCAGATGACACAGGTACTATCTAGCGGCTTTCTTCTCACAAATCAACTCTGAAGTCCTCCCAGAACGGACATGAGCTGCTGAGGCAGAAGGCGTCCCAGGAGGCTATCTGTGATGTGCTCCAGGGAGGATTTGCCTGTGGAGTTTCAAATCTCTAGTTATCTATGATGACAGGGAAGTTTCTATTCTACCTGTAAAAATAGACAATCCTTAAAAAAAATCTAATGCATTAGCAAACTGTTTGTTGACTTTCTCATCTGCTTCAGTATTTACACATAGAAACCCTGCCAGAGATGCTGTCAAACTTATCTCTATAAACATGCTAGTTTGGCTATAGCTTCTTACCCCAAAGAGTTCAGCTTTAAAAAAGGAAGAATAAAGTCAATTTCCTCACTGTTTTCTTCTTTTACCATAGGGTCTAGAAGAACCTACAGTAGCAAGGAAAAATTAGTTTTACAATTCAAAGTTATTCTCTTGCCTGTTTTTCTTGGGTCTGAGAAAACTGAACTGCTGATTCTGTTGTACCAGACAGCATAGATAAACTGTGCATGCAAGATCATTATTAAAATACTCCTGACAACAACAATTTACTCATCCACAGAACAAATATTTATGGTCAATGAACACAGAGAGCATCATCTTAATACATTTTACAGATTTCATCTGCAATTGGTTTGTGTCGTATTTATTTTGTTAATAATTCTGAATTTGTGTCTCCTCTGAATAGTATTACTTCAATTATATTTAAGAAGTAAGAATGTCTAGGTAAAAACCACTGAGATTATTTTAAGTTACTAGTGAATCTTCAATTCTGTAAAGAAAAGATCAAGCATCCTCACTAAAACATAATATTCTAAAAAGAACATTCTTACAATACTTCTGGAAGAAAATACTTGTGAGGAGCTGCAAATTTAAAAATTGTCAAAATAACAAAACTGCACAGAAAAGTATGAATTTTCAAAATGTTTTCATTTGCTTCAAAAATAAAATTTTAAATCATGATTAATTTGCCAGTTACACAATCAATTTTATTCTTGAAAATTAATTGTGTTAAGATACTGATTTTTAAATTTAGAATCAATAATTTATATAGGTAAAAAGATTATAGAATAAAATATTTTAAATCAAGTTATTCCTTATTCTTATCATATGCGTTTCTAATTTCTTTGAATGACATTCATCTACTTACTATCAATCACGTGACAAATATTATTTTATTAAATATTCAATAAATTCAACAGTATGTAGTTACTTGTATTGTGGTCTTCTGTAGCAGATTGGCACTCAACAGAAAAATATTTTTTTCTTTATGGTTTTCTTTTTCCCAGTGAACTATATGCAGAGAAAACTCTTTCAACTCTACAAAAAGAAAGTAATAAATGGAGAATTAGGTCTGACACTGAGTTGAAAAAAATTTAAGATTTTAACTACCAAGCATATTTAAATTAAAGGTATTCTTCAATATTTAAAATGTATTTAATTATTACTATGTTTCACATGCGACACAGGTTTGTTTTTTTGGGTCCATGGCCTGATTTCTACTTTTTTTTTTTTTTTGGTCCCGGGAATCAAACTCAGGACCTTGCCAGCTAAGTGCTTATGTCGCTGAGCTACATCCCCGGCCTGTGACACAGGTTTGAAAAACAATTTAAAATGCTACAAATATCTCAGCGGGAAAAATACTCAAATAACAAATTTACCAGTTTTAATTTCCAACCTAATAAATTCTTCTTCTGCTACCAACAAAGGCAGCACAGTGGTAGCAGACTGCTGTAGCCACAAACAGAAAGCTGTTTTTATGTCTTCTTCACTTGTGTCTTTAGGCTGCCGGAGAAAAAGAGTAATTAATTAATATCTGACAACGTTAACACCTTCATTCTAAAATTTTATCTTCCTAATACAATGTAAACTTTACCAGACAAAACCAGTAGAAGATGCTCACACTCTATAAACACAGATCTGGGGTGTGACATGAGTTCGCTCGATGAGTACAGTACAGCCCAAAGAAACACTCATGCAATTGGGGAAGTTTTAAATTCTCCTTTTCTTGGTGTTCAGCAATACAAACATCAGAATTTGATTCACTCAGTAAGCACTGCATTCCAATCCTGTTCTCCCTTGCCTCCCTCTAGCATCAAGACAGGAAAGCAATCCTTTACTGCCGTCTTGGAGGCGTGCGTGCGTGCGTGCATGCGTGTGTGTGTGTGTGTGTCTGTCTGTCTGTCTGTCTGTCTGTCTTCAATCTGGCCGACGGCACACAGCCAGTCAGGAAGGGTGCTCTTCTTTATCAAAGTAAAGAAATTGTGCAAGGAGAGGTTTCTGCCTTCCGCCTTTCCTTCTGCTTCCTGGAATGCAGATGAGACGCTTATTAGTACAACACACATTTGTATCTGAGAGAAGGAAAATCACAGGCTAAGGATGGCAGAAGAGAAAGACTGGTGTCACTTAGATCCTTGGTGACACTGTTTAACTGCCTATGAGCCCTTCAAACTCCCTGTACAGGAAAGAAATCCCTGATGTGTTTAAGCCACTGTTCTTTCTTTTTCTTTCCTTCTGTTTCCTTTTAAGCTGACCAGCATTTATTCTCAATAGGTAGTGTTACTATACTGCTCAAAGGTGTAACACTCCAAAAAATAAAAAAAGAAACCCTGCTAACTTAAAGAATTTAAATTAAGTTTTTGTAACCTATTTCAAATAAGGGATGAGAATAACAAAACTTCCTATAGAAAAGATGATTAATACTCCCCTTGCCCCCAAATCAATCTCTATTCTACCACTGCTCAAACTGGTCTATTTCATCCAGAGGTGAACTTAAGTCTGCTGACAAAGCCCCATTCAGAACATGACCACCTCTAAAAGTAGGCTAATCAAGAAAAGGCAATTTCCTCACTCTTTTTTTCTTTTTCTTTTTTTTTGTTTTTTTCCGGTACTGGGAATCAAACTCATGACCTTGCACTTGCCAGGCAGGAGCTGTGCCACTGAGCTAAATCCCCAGCCCCAATTTCCTCACTCTTAAAATTCACAGAAATACTTATTTCTTAGAATATTATTGGGCAATGTAGTTAAACACTTAAAAGTCATAAAATGAAGCTGAGAGCTTTTTAAAATCAAGAATTTGCAGAACAGAAAGCAACTCACAGATACTTCAGAATGAAACAGCTTTATATTCCAAGAGATTTACCATAATCACAACCCAGAGACCTGCCAAAGGTCATACAGTTTCCACTACAATATATAACTCATGATAGGAAATCATTCTTGTGATAATATGCTATCTCTGAGACAAAGTACTAATGACCAATACTAATTATTAATTATTTTCTTATGTAAGGGATCTAGCACTTAAAGTATTTTCAACATCCATAGCTAAAAAGTTAGAAATCCTGTACACTATTTAACCGATGCGGTAAATGCTCAGCTATTTACTGTTGTGTTTTCTGTTTCCCAAATTAAATAATATACATTCCCTGGTGTTTCATCAGCTAGAAAAGTTTGGTTAAATTGGTTTACCTACAACATAACAACCATCATAATCCTAAGATCCCAAAAGTTTTATACGAATTATCAGAGAAAGATTCAATTATGTTTGGAGTTTCTTAAACATATAATTCAATAATAATTTTCCTGTTTTATAATTATTTGAGAACTGGTACATATGAAATACTTTTAAATTAATTTAAATATCTCATTTCCTGACAATATCACTTTCCAAAGAATTGACTGAACAGAAAAGTAAGAGAGGTCAGGGATGGAGGTGCACACGTATAATTCCAGCACTCTGGGAGGCAGAGGCAGGAGGATCCCAAACTCAATCCCAACCTGGGCAACTCAGTGACTTAGTGAGACCTTGTCTCAAAACAAAAAATTGAGCAGGCTAGGGATGTAGCTCAGTGCAAGGGCCCCGGCTTCACTCCCCTATGCCTTGGGGCGGGGGCGCAGAATAAAAGAGTGTAGTGCTCTTTTGGGCTACAATATCAATAGGAAAGCAACACTGGTTAAAACATGCTGTTAATATGCACCTTCTACTGTGTTATTAAAACAAGCCTTTTTCAACGAAGAAGGAATGGTTGTCTTAGAAATACTTTTGGTGTGAACACCAAGAAAAAAGTTTTCACTTGTCCAAGTAGATCAGTTTGCTCTTGATGATCTCCATTTTTCTAAGCCACTTGCCTGCCACTGGTTAATGTTTTACCAGCAATAATAAAAATGATCTCCCTTCTTTTGTGAAACAGCAATACACAGTGCAGAATTTATTAGAGGACCAAATCACTTTCAGCCAACTCTTCAAAGATGATTGAGTCTTACTATCACAGGATCTTATGGGATGATGGAGTCTAGTGTGGGAAGCTGGGGTATGTATTTAATGTATCAGCCAGTTTCAGTCGCATTACCACTCTCTCCCCTTCCCGCTCCCTCCTCACCTTCTCTCCTATTCCAAGGAGTCTACCTTCTGGTTCCCTTTTAGTTATCTCTTATGCGGTGTCTGCTACTGAACTCCCAGAAGTAGAGCATTTAACCTCTTCTATAAGATTTTTCCAAATACTAAGTTAGCTGATTATGTACTTTGAAAACTGTGTTTTGTTTCTATGTCCTACATTTCATTTTTTGCCTAATTCAAGTTTCAGACATGAATTTCATTTTTTTCTGTAACTTCACTTTCTTTAAAGTTTACTAAACTGAAGTTTATAAGTTTAACAAAAAAAAGCAACATGGCAGAAAATTTTTTAAATTTCAGATACTGCAAAAATAGCAACCTTTTAAAAGATAAAACCATCCATGTTTGTACTGACACAATATATATCATATGCATATTATTTATCAAAGACTGCTCAAAAAATTAAACATAGATTTGTCATACGATCCAGTAATTTCACTCCTAGACCCCAAAAAATTGAAAATAGGAACTCAAGCAGATACTTAAACATCATTATTCCTGGCAGCATTATTCACAATGGCCAAAAAGCTAGAAACCAGCTGAGTGTCCATCAACAGATGAATCGATAAATAAATGATGTATATATAGATAGCAGAACATTATCTAGTCACAAAAAGGAGTGAAGTTCTCATACACGCACAAACAGGGACGAAACTTCAAAAGGCTACGGAAGTGAATTAAGTCGAACAGTACAAACATTATGATTCCACTCATACGAGGCATCTAAGTAAATTCTTAGAGATACAACACTGATTAGAGGGGTGGGTGGAGGAGCGACACTGAGTCACTGCTTAACGGGTGCAGTTTCTGTCTGCACTGATGGACGTCTGGAAGTCGTGCTGCGTTGTACAACATCCTGAGTGTAATTAATGCCGCTGAACTGTATGCTTAAAAGTGGTTTAAACGACATACTTACGCGTTTTTAAAACAACAAAAAAGACCTCTTCATGCTTACTAGTAAAAAGAGTACCACACTTATTTAGCAGCTAGAAATTTTATAATACATGTTAAACAGTTTTGATAGAATATATATACTTGCACTCACTAAGTTCTCTCTAGGTTGCAATTTTAGAGATCGTGGAATTTTAGGGGTAATTTCCACTGGCGTTATTCTCACTACTGCATGCATTTCTATGTTTAGTCTCTTTCTCAGGTCAGCTGGAATCTGAAATTACAAACAAACAAACAAACAAAAAATCCAAGAATGTAATTATGTTCAAAGCTCGATTAAAACACATCTCACAGCATAAATATTGATATCAGCCTCTACAACAGAGATGAAATTACAGAAGCTATCAAAATGATTCATAGCTTTCTTAGTGTGTCTGCGCTGCTATAACAAAATACTTAAAACTCTGCAGCTTATAAACAACAGCAGTGTCTTTCTCACAGTTATGAAGACTGTGGAGTCTAAGATTGGGGTCCTGGCAGATCTGGTGGCTCTTAGGGGTCTCTTCAGAGTCCTTCCTATGAGGACATCCCTCTTGCTGTGTTTTCACATGGTGGAAGTGGTAAATAAGCTCTTTCATAAGGGCACTAATTCCATCCATGGAGGATTCATCCTCACGACCTATCGACCTCCCAAAGTCTTACCTCCTGATACCATGCATTACCTTGAGGGCAGGACTTCAACATGAGTTTCAGGGGGACACAAACATTCAGACTACAGCAGAGTATAACCTGATGGAAGTGTAGGTACTGCTATATCACAAACATCTCAAATCTTCTCCCTGTATTTGTTTTTCTTTACATATTGTGCAGAATTAGAACTTTAACTGGATGTATCTGACTCTGCCCACATATCTTCAACCATGACATAATTACATTTGATTAAATTTTACTTGCAATCTTCTAGCTGCTTTCATCTATGAAAGTTGAGAATCCATGAAAAAGCTGGAGTGGTCAAAGCTAATCACAGACAATCTGAAAATCTGTACAATTAAATCCAAGCAAAAATTTAATCTAAAAGGCAAAGGATAAAATTTCTCACCTCCACTGATGAATATATCCTAAATTTAGATTGTGATGATATTTGCATAACTATTACAAAAAACAACGAACTGCACACTTTAAATTTTATCTCAACAAAGATTTTAAAAATGTTCTCATCCCCCAAAGCTTGGGAAGCACTGAAAGACATAAAAAAGACTTTAATCTTGCCAGGTATGTGGTGCACACCTGTAATCTCAGCACTTAGGAGGCTGAGACAGGAGGACTGCTGTGAGCTCAAGGCCAGCCTGGGCTACACAGTGAGCTCAAAGGTCAGCCTGAACTCTAAGGTGCATATCCTGACTTAAAGACTAATAAATCTTAAACATTACAAAATGTTTACACACATTAGAACATCACACGGTATCCCAGAAATATGTACAATTTTATGTTCCAGGTTTTAAAATAATTTTTAAAAAATGAATGAATTTAACATCTTTTTTTTTTTAACAGTCAAGTTTTCTAAAACAAAACCAACCACAACAAAAAAACCCAGACACTCCACAGTGTAAGAAATGTTCCAATCAATAGCGTTAGTTCTGTTCACAAGTGATCAATTCCAGTCTCTCAAGTCCAGCCTGCTGGAGCACCTCATGGCAATGACCGTCGCTTCTCACTGCCTGTCACCCTTCAACCTTTAAGGCACAGCAGGAAGTGCAGACTCCTGGCTGCTCTCTAGTTCCCAGGTCTTCCCCACCAGCACTTCTTCACCCATCCTCACCCTATGGTTTCAAGGAAGGACAAGAATATTTCCGTCTGGGGGCAGAAACTGCTAAGTCAGAATCACCTCAGTGCTAGACGACTTGAATTTGAAGATGCTGGGGAATCGCATAAACTGATGGTTTAAAGCTAACAGAAACAACTGAGGCTTTAGAAAACAAAGGAGTACAGAGGGATTAAATTTTTAAATGACTTGCATAGCTCAGCGGCATAAGCGCCTGCCTGGCAAGTGCAAGGTCCTGAGTTCGATTGCCGGTACCAAAAGAATCCAAACCAGAACAAAAAACAAATGACTTGCATGAAAGCTGTAGGTAAAATCATAAGAATAAATGGACTCTACAAAGGTGACAACCTTCCCTTTCTGTTTTTCTTCCCCGCCCTAATTGGGTCCTCTCATCATTGTGAAGTCTCATTTTATTTTATTTTTATACCGGGAATTGAACTCAGGACCTTGCACTTGCCAGGCAGGTGCTTGTGCCGCTGAGCTATACCCACGGCCTGAAGTCTCAATTTAGAGTGGTTCAAATAAAGGGGTAGGGATTCATGCCATATCAATTTCCTCTCCCTGCTATACACAAGTTAAAACAGCAGCTATCAGCAGGGTACATGGCTTCAGGACGCATTACCATCCAGGTACTGTCACAGCAAACAGAAAGTTCTTTCCCCCTCCTAGGTATCTTTCCTCAACACATAAAAAGTGCTTCCTTTGTTCTTAAAGACCATGGGAACAAACTTTCTAAAGATGCAAGGCTCTGTAGGGTACTCCAAACAGCATAATCCCTACAGTCCATCTGCCTGGGTGGGAATCCTAGTTCTACTCCTAACTATGCAACCTCAGGCATGTAATTCTGACTTTTCTGGGTCTATACACATAAAAGCTTATTTACTTTGGTAAATATACAGTCTTTACCAAAAGAAGGACTTTACAGTGCAAGCAGAAATGTCTCCCCCTTTGCAACAGTGTTTTTTATTATACTGCCTTTTTTTTTTCTGGTACCAGGAATCGAACTCACAACATCGCGCTTGCCAGGCAGGCGCTGTGCCGCTGAGTTAAATCCCTAGCCCTGCTTTTCAATTTATATGCAAAATATTATTCTATTTTAAAATCAAGGAAAGGGTAAGGAGCATAAGTTTGCCCACAAATTACAAAACTCATACTGACCCAAACTCTCCCAAGATGGAGGGCTTCCACATTTTTCGTGTATTTTATGGTGTTCTTCAATTCCTGAAGTCCATTCCAGACTATCTTTAGCACACAGGCCTTACCAGTTTCTTGACTACGATCTGAGTTAACCTGTTTTTGATCTAGCGGTTCTGACACCTGCTTTTCTTTTTCTGGTGACAGGACATTCTGCTTTATTTTAGTTTGCTGTTGTTTTGGAGAAAGTAGCTTAACCAGATTTCCATAGGTCACAGTAAAGCTGGGCTCCGCATCAAAGTATTCCTGGTCCCACGGAAATACATGAACAGCACAGTGTTTATGAAACACGGAAGTTGCTGGTGTGTTATATACACTAGGAGGCTGTGACTTGCACACTCTGAAAATATTGTCCACAGGAACAACCTCTGACTGCATGTTTTTGAAAGCATTGATTTCAGTTGAACCCCAGGACGTGTCTCGTTTTTTCTCAGATCCAAAAGAAAAAATGCTTCCTATCATAGTCCATAAGCTTGGTAACGATGAGAAGTTAACTGAATCTGCTGTGTTAGACCCAGTGACTGCTGCAGTATTTGATTGCAGTTGCTCGCTTTGAAATTCTTCTGTCGTTCCTTTTTGGTCTCTTCCATAACTATGAAAGTTTCCGTACGCATCATCTGACTTTGTAAATGTTTCTGCTTTGGCTTGGCGCGTCTTTGGCTGAATAAGGAGCCTGGTATCAGCTTCCAGCCTTCCATACGTAACAGCTGGCATCAGTGCAACTGTGTAGAAAACAGAGCTCGTCAGGGCAGGGCGACCTCTACGGAGGACTCAGTGTGACAGTATGGAGTACGACAGTTGTTACTACAACAGCACCTACCAATCTGGATAAATATGTAAGTCTGCTGATCCACCCAAACAGGAAAAATGGCTTTTGGAAAAACTATTCGAATTTGATCCAAAAGATGCTGTTCAAGAGAAGCAGCATGCAGCTCCTAGAACCAACAGAGAACAAGATCAATTTACTTTACATTTTGCCCTTTCTATGTCTAGTAAGGATATCACGATTCATTTTTTATTTTAATAAATACTGTGCATGTTTAAGGTACACAACATGATATTGTGGGATATACAGAGATTTTAAAAAAGCAAATTAACATATTCACCCATCTCCCAGTCACCCAATTTTTAAAAAAATTTTGCAGCAAGAATGGTTAAAAAACTAGGGCTGGGGATTTAGCTCAGCGGCACAGCACCTGCCTGGCAAGCGCAAGGTCATGAGTTCAATTCCCGATACTGGAAAAAAACAAAAAAAAAAGATGTTGGCTTTTGGGGCTGGGGATTTAGCTCAGCGGCAAAAGCGCCTGCCTGGCAAGCGCAAGGTCGTGAGTTCGGTTCCCGGTACCGGAGAAAAACCAAAACAAACAAACAAACAAAAAAAGAATAGTTAAAAAACTCACTTAGCATGAGCCCCAGATACAGTACAATTTTTAAATGTATAGTCCTCATGTTATACATTAGATCTCTACCCATTCTTATAATTCAAACCAACTCAGAAGGTAGAATGAAGTTCAAAGCAGTCCAAAGACAATGGTATTTTGAAGTAATTTAACTTTAAACTGAGATGGTTCTTATTTTTCTTTACCAGTATTTCCCAATCATCTGCTGAGATGGGCTCCACCTCAACTTCGTGACAAGATACCACATGAGAACATGGCTTGAGAAACACCTGGAAAAAATTAAAAATTTAAAACTACTTTCAAAAGATTATTCTGTATTCCTCGAAAACACGAAGTTCTCTCTTTAGGCAAGTAATGTGTGTGTGTGCGGATGGTCTTTCGTTCAACAAATATGAAGTGCTTATTCTTAGCCAGGGCTTGATGTGTTCGGTGTTTTAGAAAAAACTGTTGTACAACTAGTTACAGAGTACAGAAAACACACTTCCTAGCACGTGTGTCTCAAAAAATAAAGATAATCATTTTCAAAAGAAATATAAACTTTAATATGTAAGAAAAATAAGCTCCATCAAATCACCTGAGTTTATACTCTACTTCTAGAAGTTTCACAACTGTTAGCTTTATAACTAACTTTAAGCCGTGCTACTTCTAGGAAAGTAAAAAACACACTGAAATAAAGACCAGAGACCACTATTTATAGCGTATCTTTCACACAGCTAAAAGTAAATGAAACAAATACTCCCTCATTCTGTTCTACAGATACACGAAATGCTGGTGTATCTCAATAGCTGCAGTCCACCACCTTACTCTCTCTTCCCTTTAACAGACATTTCTGAAGATTACGGGGATAAAATCCAAAGCCACTGAGTGTTAGCCATTCTAGGTAAGCAGCCCTGCCTCTCTACTTTTGTGAATTTGTTCTCGATACCTCCCTTACCATCGTACTTCAAAAGAATAATTTGAAAGAAGCACAAAGCAGCTCCTGCCTACCAAAAAGTGAAGGACTGCAGCAGGCTTATGTTCCATTCCTATGAAAGGACCTTCAGTGAGTCTGGGAAGAGTCACTTAAAAGCAAGTTGGAAGTAAAAACAAGTAGGATTGTTTAGTGTACTAATTAAGATATCAAAATCAATAGGAAGCTGATGTTGCCTAGAGGCAGTTGCCACATGCTCAAAGCAAGCTAAACTGTAACCTGCTTTCCGGTTCCGAGCAAATATATTTCACCTTGCGAGGTTTGTAGACCAAGGCATCAAAGTTAGTGATTTCTAAGGTCTTTCTGGCATTAAAATATTAAGATTCTAGAAAAATCTAGGGTACACAAGACAAGTCAGAGGCTTCTAGATTTCTCAGGAACAGCCTGTTCTGATTATCAAAACACACATCAAGTCTGTGTCTGGAACAAGCTGAAAAGATGTGCACAGAGGTACAGCTGTGAGAAACTGGTAACAGAGAGCACTGTATCTTCCTCCATCAAAACTGTAAAAGCATAAGCCCCCCGGCCCTGGTAATTCGATTTTTATTTCATGCCTGCAGGTTGAAAATCTGAAAATCTGAAGCTAAAATGCTTGAAATCTGAAACTTTCTGAGCACAAGTTTTTGAGCATTTCAGACTTTGGAATAACAATGTGCAACCAGTAAAGCCAATGCAAACAGTCTCAAATCTAAAACTCTCCAAAATCTGAAATACTTCTGGCTCTAAGCATTTCGAGTGAGGGATAACAAACCTGCACATATAGGACTCTGAGGCAACACAAAGCTGCTCTTGCTCAATGCGAATCTGAGGGCTCCCCGGCGAGGCCAACCATTTCTGTTGCTATTACGGATTCTTTGGGAGACAGTGTTTTAATGGCACTGCTACAATAGAGGATCAATATTTACAGGGAGATATTCATTCTATATTGTTTGTAAACCATCATCCCTACGTCTGCAGGTTCCACATCTGCAGATCCAATCAACCATGAATAAAATATACCGGGAAAATAATTCTGTCTATCCCGAATATGCACAGATTTTTTTGGTTGTCATTATTCCCTAAACAATGTAACTATTTACATACATGTAAATACTATACCATTTTATATAAGGGACACAAGTAACTACAGACTGTGGATTCCATGGCTATCTCGTAAGCAAGCTCCCACAGGCACTGAGGGAAGACTGGATACAGAAAAGTATTTTTAATTAAGACCACGAGACATTCAAAAAATGCATCAGAAAAAAATGAAATTAAGTTCAGTAATAGTAAGTAAAACCCAGTATTTAATAAAGGGAAAAATGATTTCCTAAAAACAAAATTAGAGAAACTGCAAAGTGAGTAAAATAAACAATGCAGAACACTGACTTAGCAACAAAGTTTAGTTAATTTGAATATCTGAGACTGGTTAAAATAATATGTAAGTTGGGTGTCATCTCAAGTCCTTAAAAAACCTGACCTTTCATTTCCATTGCCGTATTATGTGACATAAGAAGAAAGTCACTGTCATCATATTTTGTCCTTACCTGTCCCCCATTTGAAAGTCCAAGTTTCTGACCAACTTGTCTGTTAATTTCAGCCACATTTTCACCTTGGTCATTAAAATGCCTGCCTTCCACCCAGCTCAAGAATACCGGCTGCAGACCCCAGGTGACTTCTATAGCTTGATTCTATTTATAGAAAGAATGGGAGGGGGAAAGATTGTTAAAGTTTTAGATGTTTTCCATGGAGTCATATAAATTATCACTGCAATCCACACACAGAAAAACAGTCCTATAGATAGTTGGGAATATTTGCATTAGCTTTACTGGTTGAGCATCCTTAATCCAAAATCCAAATGCTCCAAATTTTAAAATGCTGAAATGCTCCAAAATTTAAAACTTGTGCTAAGAAAGTTTCAGCTATCACCATTTGTATAGCATTTAAAAAGTCATAATCATTTCAAATACCTAATGCTGGCAATACCCTTATATTCTCATGACAGAATAAATTGATTCAAGCATTTCAGAGTTCAAAATGGCAACAAGGGACTGGAGACGTAGCCCAGTAGTAGAGCACTTGCCTAGCTTAAACAGAGGCCTGGGTTTGATCCCTAGCACCACAAAAACAAAACAAAAAAAATCCTCTCAAAAGGCGATAGGTAGCCTTTGAGCCACATGTAACTATTTGAATATTCTAAATTAATGATTCAAAAGGGAAAAATATATGATGCTTTAACGTGAAACAAGTTTTAGAATCATAACACAGCAATCAGATAAAATAGCAATCCCTGATACTGATTGATCAGAAGAGTAATACATGCATACTGTAAAAATGCAAAAAACACAAATAACCAAAATGTGAAGGTAGGTCACCATTCCCAGAGGTAAATCCTACTAATAGCTTCTTGTGCATTGTCCCAGAAATGTTATATTATTCAGCTTCTTAAATAACTTTAAAAGCCACAAAAGTATGGATATCTACTTATAAGTTTAAAAAGCAATATATAAAATTTATTTTCATCAAAAGAGCAATAATATAAAATATGTAAGTTTGTGTCCAATGACTACATTTTTTTTAAAATTAAAAAATTACTCATGAAAACTTGGAAAATAAATGAAGCTGGAATGGAAAAAAAGGAATTATTGCTGTTCTCGCCACAAAAAGACAACCACGTATACAACAGTCTATTTCTTCCTAATCTTTTTCTTTTGTTTTGTATCAGGAATTGTACTCAGGACCTTGCGCTTTCTATTCTCTTTCTTTATGCATAAGTTAATTTTTTGCACAGCTGTACATTAAAAGACAATTTAACATCCTTTTCTTCCACTTAATACTGCATCATGAACCTTTGGTTAAACTGTAGTAATTAGTCCCATAAAGTCATAATCTATACTGTTAGATTTGGCTGACTTTGTAGAAGTCTGCAAATTTGGTTTCATGCCAAAATTTTTTTCACTTGAACCATACAGCCCCTCACCCTTCAGGTAGACAGACTAGAAAAGCAGCCCCTTTTCCAGGAGTTTACTTAGTAAATGCATGGAACTACTTCCTTTGGCCCAAACCATGGCATCAGTATCACCATGAAGGAAATCTTCCGGTGAAACTGGATGCTGAAATTCTGTAGGAGCCTCCAAGGCCTGATGAATCACACTGACACAAGCAAACGGCAATCGAATCTGGATGTGGCCATTTCTGGATGATTTAGGTTTCTTTGCTACAAGAGCAGGTCCCGAGCTCAGAGTACAGACAAGATAACTGAGTTTGGCAATGTTTTTTGTTGTCACAACTAGGGCGGAAATGTGCTCCTGGCCTCTACTGGGCAGGAGCCAAGGAAGCTGCTAAACATCTTAAATGTACAGGACACCCCTCAAACAAAACAATTATCCAAACCCCAAATAACAAGGGGGCCAAGGGTAAAAAACCCTAAACTGAACCTGTACTGAGTACTCAGTCCTCAGAGGCTTGAGCAGACAGAACACAGAACAGGCATAGCAAGTCAGATGTGTTACATGAAAAGAAGGGTGGCCGGGCATGGTGGCGCACACCTGTAATCCCATCACTCGGGAAGCTGAGGCAGGAGGATCACTGCAAGTTCAAGACCAACCTGGGCTACAAAGTGAGCGCAAGGCCAGCCTAAACTGCCTAACAAGACCGTGTCTCAAAAGAAAAAAAAAAGTTACGTGGACACTGTTGTAAAGTTACGGAGTAAGTACAGCAAGAGGGAAAATGTAGAATGGCAGGAGCAAAGGAACGGAAGTGGGAATGAGGTAAATTAAAGAAACTGGAAAAAGCACAGGCTGGTTGACAAGGAGTGAGCTAGTCGACAAGGGGCAGATGAACTACAAGAGAACCTCCATCAGCTCCTACCGCACCGAGTCAAGTTCTGCCTGAAAGTTTGTGACAGCGACTGGTTTGGAGTTGTAAGAAAAGCTTAGGGGGGTAGGGGGGTTGGGGATATAGCTCAGTGGCATAAGCGCCTGCCCGGCAAGCGCAAGGTCTTGAGTTCAATCCCCGGTACCCCTCCCCCCAAAAAAAGAAAGAAAAAAGGAAGAGCTTATCAGAAACAAAAGTTTGCTTAATGGTAAGAAAAAAAAATAATAACAAGAATGAAAGGATTCTGTTGAATGTGGTATGTGATGAAAGATGGACCAAAAACCATAAAAACAAAGAAGTTGCTCAAGAGGAAAGTTGGGCTGATGTCTCGTAGTTTATTGAAAGACCGGTTAATGCTTAAATTTTTTTTTTTTAATATTGTGACCAATTTTGCATGCGTGTATCTGCTAATCTGAGCAACTGCTATGAAGACAATATGCAAAATAACAATTGGTGAATCCCTACCATCTTGTCTAGTGAAACTGTATTGTCTCTAATGTTTTTTCTTCCTTTTTTAAAGTTATTTTAAAGAGTAAAAAAAGGATAACATAGTAATAGGGGGGCTTACCGAATTACAGACAAAGTGGTAGGAAATTATCAGTGGTTGTTATTTTACATATCGTTAGCTACAAGATAGTTTCTCAGGTATCTAATGTTTTCTTAAATTATTATTTTCTTATTCTCTTCAATGGTTTGACCAATCTTCCATCTCTACATTAGGTAATCTGAGCGACTTCGTTGAAATCAACACTATATAACACAACACTATATTATAAAACACTATAATACAACAACCACTGTTAATTCCTGCCATTTGGTTTGAAACCCCGTCTGACTTTTAATGCTCTTGCTTTGTTTTGTTTGTACTTTGCTATTGTTCCTTTGTTTACTATGCTCTTTAAAATATAAAAAGAGAAAAGTTGGAATTTTTGACATTACTGCAAACTCTTGCGAATCTGCTGTTCGGATTAGGCAGTGGCGGGCAGCATGCCTCCAAGACTTGCGAAGATTTCAAATATTCCATGCTTTCGCCACACGAGCACAGCCCAACTTCTCAGACCGTGTGCATCTACTCCTAACTATGACAACGTGGACGCTGGATCTACACGAGCGGGCGCAAGTCCGGCAGGGTGCCCTACGCGGCGGCCGCGGACCCCCGCACCTTCCCGGGCTCCACAACCCACGCCAGCCCCGCGGGGCCGACGGCAGCAGCTGTGCAGACTTGGAGATCCCTAGCAAGAACACTATTAAATAACAAAAACATCCGCGTCCTCGAGAGCATTTCCACCCCGGCCTGAGGAATATTCCAGAATGCAGAGAGGAGTTCCGCCCTCGGACGCCTCAAAGCCCAGCGGGACCGAGCGACACGGCCCGGACCAGGTCCACGGCTGCACCCGGGCGCGCGGCGGCGGAGCGCGGCGGCCTCCTCGGCCACGTCCGGCCCGAGCTGCGTCGGGCGCCGGGGCCGCGCGTTACCTGCAGAAGGTGCAGCTGGGCCACGAGGCGCCGCGGCAGGTGGAGGAAGCAGTCGCGAGCGTTGGTTAAAGCCACGGTCACCGCCACCCCCCCGGCCGCCGACCCCGCCAGGCGGTCGCTGCCCCACATCTCCCCAAGGCGCCGCTCCGGGAACGCCCACGGTAGAGCGGCGTGCGACTCCTAACCCCGCAGGCGGAGCGCGTCGGAGTCCGAGAGGATCGATTGGTCCCGCCCCCGCGGCCCCGCCCTCTCCTCAGCGGCGCGTCTCTCTTCACGCCTGTAAGGCGGAGGGGCAAACAAGCCTCCGCCACTCATTGGTCCTCTCCTCCAAGCCACCGGGGGGCAGCACCGTGTTCGACGAAGTCTCGCTCTCAGGAAACGATGGCCGACGCTGTCGATTCTCTAGCCAATCCTGGAACGTCTTGGCCCACCCGGCTCTCTTATTGGGTACACGGCAGTGTGGCAAGGCGGATGTTGTTCTCCCCGTGAGCGCCAAAGCGGGCAACATGGCGTCGAGCGACGGGCAGTTTGGAAATGTATTAGACCACCACGTCCGGAGGGCGGTTTGCGCCACAAGGGCGAAATATCGAGAGGGCCGACGGCCTCGCGCGGTCAAGGTAAAGTGATTTGTTTCATTCGCTATCTTCGGTAGCTTTGTGTGAGCCCTAGCTCGACATGGCCCGCCTGGCTAAAGGCATAGAAAGAGTGCTGTCAGATCCTTCTCTTCTTGGAGATGGCATGCGGAACCCTAGCGTAGACACCGGAGGATGTTATTACCCATTTGGTTAAGTATTAGAACGTCGCTGTGCAAGAACGGGGCTTTGTGTCATCTGTATTTATAGCAGTGCTTGTCACTTAAGTACTCAGTGAATACTTGAGTGACTTTCCAATGACGTCTACCGAGCCAACCACTGGAAAAAATGACACCTGAGAGCAGTCGGTTGTATGTTTTAGTGAGATATTCTCACACGTGTAGTAAGTTATTCTTTATGGAGAAGCTAGCATTTTAGAACGTTTTGCGTGTTTTTTTACAGGTCAGGTTGAACGATGCTTTGTTTAAAACAAAAAATAAGGGCGAATTTGTCCTAGGCTTATTTGCAAAATACATTTAATGAGTGTATTTCTTTTAGGTCTATACAATCAATTTGGAATCCCGGTACTTACTGATACAAGGAGTGCCTGCAGTGGGAGCAATGAAGCAATTAGTGGAGCGATTTGCTCTGTATGGTACGATTGAAGAGTATAATGCTCTAGATGAATACCCAGCAGAAGACTTTACTGAAGTTTATCTTATTAAGTTTATGAGTTTACAGAGTGCAAGGTAATGTGCAGGTTAAACAGTATCTCATTTCCTCCATTTCTGTTGCTATCATTTTGGCCTCAGGTTTCTCTCATTCATACTGAATTACCCAAAGTTTAACGTGGGCCTGTAGTACTCTTATCTTCCTGCAGTCTTTTAGAGGCTAACCTCACGAAAACAGTTTCCATCCCCTCGTTCCCATGCTTAGCAGTTAGTGTCCTGTAGTACAGTAGATTAAAAACTGAATGTGGAGTGTTTTCTAGTACTGCTCACTAGCTTCATGCCTAGCAAGTAATTTAACCCTGCTAAGCCTATTTGTTCCATTTCTTAAAATCCAGATGGTGAAAAACCTATTTCTTGAGGTATGAGGATGAACTAAGATAACTTGTGTAAAGGACTTAGAATAATACCTTCTGTTTAGAATGCATTAAACATTAACTCTTGTACTTCCTATTATGTGAATTAACTCCATTGTTTCTGGGCATCTATATAACATAAACCTGCTCCATTAAGCTGAAGTATGCAGTGCCTTATCTACTTTTGTGTTGACCCCTTTTCTTGTTACTAATCTGATCTGAGACCCAGCCTTCCCTGGCTGTTATCCATTTATATTTCTCTTCTGGGCTTCTAGTAGCTCTGACTGTGCCACAGAAACACTTGTTTTTATGCAGTCATGTGTTGTTGTCAAGCAGCTCTTCCGTTTAATTTCACTTTCCTAACCAATTTGCCACCTTCTCATGATTAGGAAAGCATATAGCACGTGTGTCCAACCAGCAGCCCACTGGTTGGACAAAACTGGTTTGCCAGCGTTGCATTGAGTGAAGAGGAGTTGACTTGAATCTCATATGAAATACAGGGGTACCTTGGTTCACAAATGCTTTTTTTTTTTCACAAGTGCTTTTGTTTGCAAATGTATTGGGCAAAATTTTGTTTTCGTTTTCGAGCTCTGCACTGAGTGATGAACACAGCTGCAGCCATCTTTCCCACATGAACATGAACATGGCCGGGGGCTGGGGATTTAGCTCAGCGGCAAAGTGCCTGCCTGGCAAGCGCAAGGTCGTGAGTTCGGTTCCCGGTACCAGAGAAAAACCGAACATGAACATGGCCATCTTTTCCAGAATTGTGGAATGAATTAAGTTCGTGAACCAAAGTACTGTACCACTGTACATAATATAGTTAACATATATTAGTAACAAAACTACGTTTTTTATGTACTTGTTATTATAAGATAGGCATATTGAAATCTGTACTAATAGATCCTGTTATCATGTATTTCTGTTTAGGATAGCCAAGAGAAAAATGGATGAACAGAGTTTCTTTGGTGGATTGCTTCATGTTTGCTATGCTCCCGAATTTGAGACAATCGAAGAAACTAGAAAAAAATTAGAAGAGCGAAAGGCTTATATAGCAAGAGCTACTAAAAATGAAGGTATACAAATCCTATTACTGAACACTTCCTGTGTGTCAGGCATTCTGCTTCATACACCACTGGGAATGCCCAAGTTAGATGGGGGATAGGCAAATGAATGATCACAGTATTCAGTAACTTAAGTCACAGGGCTCTCTGCAGCCCTGTACATAAGTTGGGTTGGAAAGAGAGAGCTGTTGGTTATCTCATGTTTCCACATCCCACTCTGATGGTGCCATCTGCTCCTGGGAGAATAGATCAAGCAAGAGTCTTGTACAGACCCTAAAAGTGTGCCCAGCATACTGTTTGCTTTAACAACAAAAACTAAACAACATGTTACATTCATATAGTAGAATATTCTGAAGCTGTGAAAAAAGCATTCTGTGTAGTGACACGGGAAGACTAAGATCTACATGTAAGTGGATCATGGGTGTGGAGAAGAGTGTTGTAGGTTGCTTTTGGTGTGGAAAGGGAAGAGGGACAGGTGGGCTGAAGAAAAGTAACACATATGGGATACATAAGTAAGAAAGAATAGCGAATACGTAAGAGAGGTAGAAAACCAGATACATGTGGAATGAGAAAAAGGTGAATTTTGATCTGATATACCTTTTTTATCCTCTTAAAAGACCTTTAAACCACATTAATACGTTCTCTGCTCAAGAAATAAAATCTTTGAGCCAGCTGTGGTGGCACATGGCTCTAATCCCAGTACTCAAGAACCTGAGGCAGGAGAATCTCTACGGGTTCAAGGCTAGCCTGGCCTGCTTCGTGAGTTCAAGGCCAGCCTGATGTACATTGCAAGACACCCCCTCCCCCAAAAGAGAAAGAAAATTGTTGGAATAGAATATGGTAACAGTTTTTAAGTTTGTTTTTTAAATTACATGATTCTGAACAGTAAGCGAACTATTTCTCTTTTCTTTTCCCACAACTTTTAAATTGTAATGTAAAAAGACTATTATATGACAAAGAAGAAACCGGTTCCAGAGCATAAAGACACAGAAGATTTTAGACAGGCCTTCCACTCAGAGATGCCTGGATTTTGTGCAGTCACTTTGAACACACCGACTGGGAGCCAAGATCCTCTTTTTCCTTATTCTTGTGAATTGCCTTTAGGTTATTTTGCCTCAAAATATGTATGTTCACCTGGGGAGCATGTGGACAGAACATCTGATTCCTATAAAGATGGTAGAGACTATAATGAAACAGTGAAGCATTGTATCTACAGTGACTCTTCCCCAAAATTACAGATGAACACTTCTAAAAATTTAGTGCCCCATTCTGGAGCACAAAAAGCCATTACTCCTTCAGGCGCAGTTGACAGGTTTATGCCTCGGACAACACAGCTGCAGGAGCGGAAAAGAAGAAGAGAAGATGATCATAAACTTGGAACTTTTGAAACAAGCACAGGCAGTAATGAGGTGATGATTGGGCCTAAGTTACCAGACATACCTAAAATAGATCTGCAAGATGATTCCTTGAATACAACAGCAAACTTAATTCGGAAAAAACTTAAAGAGGTGAGGTCATTTGTCAAAAAATGTGAAGAGATGATTTGATTATAGGACTAACAACTAAGTGGAAAATTATTTGTGGGAATGATAGAATTGTATTTTTTCAATTTTTAATTTCTGATGTGGTTTTTCTGGAATCTCTGTTAAATTAAGTGAACTTGACCAGTATATTTATTTATTTTGATGGTAATTTCTGCTTTAAACAATGAATATATTTTTATATCATTCTAGATGCAAAAATACTAACATAGTGGTTTCAGTCAATTAAATCAATCTGCCATAGTGAGATCCAGGCCCCCTTTTTAAACAGCTCCCCAGGTAGTTATAAACCAAACCTAAGAAGGAAAATTAATATAAATTCTCTTGGGCCAGGGATATAGCTCAGCGGCACAGCGCCTGCCTGGCAAGCGCAAGGTCAGGAGTTCAATTTCCGGTACAAAAAAAAAAAATTCTCTTAAATTCAAAGTCAAATTTAAAATGATTATTTTGCTTCTGTGATAGAAATATCTGTGGAAGAAGGTGAGATTTCTAAACATTGGGTCATTGCATTGCTTTAAGGGTCTACATTTTAAGTGTAAAGTTTTTAAAAAACTAGAACTAGATTATGCTACTTAGTCTTTTTTTTAACATTATTTAGGTAATCATTCTGTCTCAAGCATAAAAAAAGTTAACATTTCTTTTTTTCATTTTTTTGGCACTGGGAATTGAACTCATAACCTCATGCTTGCCAGACAAGTGCTGTGCCACTGAGCTATATCCCTCGCCCCAAAAATTTAACATTTGAACAAACCTTTATTTTTTTCTTTTCTTTTTTTTTGAGACAGGGTCTCACTGCATGATTCAGGCTGACCTTGAACTTACCATTGTAGCCCAGGCTTGCCTCAGACTCTCAGTAAACCTGCCTCGGCCTCCTGATGAATTAGCTTTGGAAAGACATCTTTTTTTGGGGTGGGGTTAGGTTGTGGAAATGATAAACTGAGGGTCATGCCTGTTCTCCTATATTTAATGCCAAGGTTCAGAAAGCTTTTCACATTGTTATACATAAATTTTATAGTGATTCAGGGATGCTAAAAGCCTGATTTCTTTTACAGTTTTTTTTTTAATCTGAAAATGATTACCTAGTAAGACTACTAAAATAATAGTAAAAACCTATACACACAGTTTGTAATGCTTAATTTACCACATTTTCTAATACTTTTCCATTTCAAATGAAGATTATGTTATTCTGCTGTGATTTATTGTCCATGCCTTTTGAGGTACGCTTGGTGTCCATTTTTCTCCTCGGAAATTGAGAATTCTATCATTTTGTGCACATTTTTCCAAATTTTCATCCCTGTCCCAAGCATTTTATTTCATATGTCTATCAGATGTTATCTGTATTTCAAAAATGCAAAACTTGGATATCTACTTGTATTAAAAAAAACATGACTTTAAATCTGTTTAAAAATGCTAAAGGAGAGCATATGTTTACTTTTCTCCCTACAAAAACTTTTTTTTCAGTTCTTAGTATCAAACCTAGGGACTTGGATGAGCTAAAGAAATGTTATACATCCGCTGCCCTCCTTCCAGTTTTATTTTCTTGGTAAATGGCTTTGGAAATTTTACTCTCATCAATGTTTGGACAGGAAACTTTGCTTTGTGCCTAGGATGTAGGCTGCATCCAGAACGTGGGCCACCTCTCTCGAAAGAGATTGCAGGGACTGGGCGATTAGGTGTATATCCTACCTCTTCTAGCTTATTTACTCTTACACTACAAAAACTGAGTTTTGGTGGTTCTTTTTTCTTTTTAAACTAGGTAATTTCATCTGTGCCAAAGCCCCCAGAGGACAAATTGGAAGCTGTATGTACGAGTCATCCATTAAAACAAAGAAGAAGAATATAGATTTCCAGGAACAAGTTAGTATTTTCTCTTTCTTTTTTTTTTTTTTTTTCTGTTTTTGAGACAGGGTCTCACCCTGTAGTTCAGGCTGGCCTTGAACTCACAGTGATCCTCCTGCCTTAGTCCGGAGTGCTCAGATTATAGGCGTGCACCACCACTCCTGGCTAGTATTTTCTAAAGAGGATATTTATTCTTTATTGTTAGTCTGTCATTTTTTAAAAAGAGATTTTACTGGTAGTATTTTTTAATGCATTTTATAATTTCATTCAGACTGTCTAATATTTCATATAATTTATGATGTATACTTAATTTTGTTCACGTCTTGTAACATTATCTTCCACATTATAACTACATGTAAATTGGAGCAAATATAGGAATTTTACCACACAAAGAGAGGCAACAAGTATCTGTTTCTTATTTTAATAGAAATATTGAGCAATTCATATTCAAAAGTTACAAGTTTCTGAAAGCCAGGGCTTCAAAATGAAGACAATTCTGTAAAATAAAAAAGTTAATAAACTATTACAACAAAGTTGTAATACAAACTTACATGATTTTACTAAATTTTTTTTATTTTTTGTCTTTTTGAGACAGGGTCTCGCTGTGCAATTCAGGCCAGCCTTGAGCTCACTTTGTAGCCCAGGCTGGTCTCGAACTCGCAACGATCCTCCTGCCTCAGCCTCCCAAGTGCTGGTATTACAGGCATGCACTACCACACCCGGCTCTTACATGATTTTAAAAAAGATTTTAAGGAGTGTTTACTTGATCTGTAGCAATCAAAAAATCAGTTTTGGAAATTCTAGACTTTGACTGCTACACTTTAAGAAATTTGATTTTATCCAGATGTTTTCCATTTTCTCTACTGATAAAAATAACTTCAGAAGGCCCCTACTGCCTATTGTCTGTGTTTCATTTTGCCCTGTCCTTAAGAGCTTCTTGCCAAAGGGATTAATTTAAACATATCCATGAATAAGGTTTATTTCAGCTATCATGCTATACTGATCAAACTTGCTAGAATGGCTGTAGGTGGTGGTTTGTAAAAAAGTTTGTAAGTGGGTACTGGAAGGATCTGCAAGCAAGAAGTTAGGCTCTACTTCCTTGTGAGGTAAATACCATAGAAATCCAGGTAAAGACCTGAGCGCAAAGTTGGAAAGAACAAATCCTGTCCAGATAAAGCTTTTCAGACATTAGGATGCTGCGAATCTCCACCTTAGGGTCTTGTTGAAATGTAGATTCCGGTATGGTAGGGAGGAGGAATGGGGAGTTGTTTAATGGAGGTACAGACTCTCAGTTTTACAGATTGAAAAGAACTGTGGAGATTGGTTGTGTGCCTGTGTTCGGTTGATGCTAACTGAACTGTACATTTTAAAAAGGTTAAGATGGTAAATTTTCTATTAGCTTTTATGAGAATCTAAATTCTCTGAGAGATTGAATGGCAGCAGCTATTAGATGGGTTCTCTGTTCCTGAGTGGGGTTCTCATCTGTTCTTTGAGGAGCCCACTTGCTTCCCCCATCTACTGACAGGCACATACAGTATTTTAAGGTGATAGGAAAGAAAGAAACTTCGGTTGTGTCAAGCAACAACAACAGAAGTAGACTGTGATTCACTTAGTTTTGTGTCGGGGCTGAGATACGGGTTTTTCACAAGTTCCTAGGAAATGCCACTGCTGCCAGTTCACAGAGCACGTTTTGAAGAGCAAGGCTGTAGATAACCGTAGCGGCTGGAGAACCGCTGGCTCGGGTGCAATCGCACACACCTGTAATCCCAGTGCTCTGCAAGGCTGAGGCGGGAGGATCCCAAGTTCCAGCCCAGGCTGGGCAGCTTAGTGACTTAGTGAGGCCCTCTCTCAAAATAAGAACTGTTGGCTGTTCCATCCTAAGCAGTTGTTCCAATCCGTTTGTGCTATGCTGTTTTCACCCATCAGTGTCTTACAGTTGGAAACCTGCCTCTTGCACATTGCTTTTACTACATATTTCCAGGCAAAACTCGGAGATGGGGTCTGGGAAATAAACTACAATGGGATACGTGAGATGAAGCGCTGAGATGGGTAAGGATAGCTTAACCACAGGCATGTCAATTTGCAAACTCTTACAATAAGGTTTCTACAGCATATGTTTGAAAAGTACAGTTGATCGAAGGAAGACTAGGGAAGGAAGTTTTATGGGCCAAATCAATTACTAGGCTGATCCTCTCAGCTCAGAAAATTGGTCAGACTCATACATGAAAAGCCTGCATAAGCACAGACGGGCTTTTGTAGAACTATACCTTTGCTTCTGGTAAACATGGCCCAAACACTTCCAGCAGAAGTTGGTCTTGTCTCACTGCTCTTTCAAAGTCTGTAAAAGATACTTTGCCATCGTTGTCATAATCCTAGAAAGGAAGTGGTTTTTTCATAAACGATAGTCATTTTAATTTTGCCATGGAAAATAGCTGTCTAGACTAAAAAGTTTTATAAGCAAAACTGAATTTTCCATTTCTGAAGACACTATTTATATAAATTAAAAGGTATTTATTTATAGAGGCCATTCTTTTATTTTAACGGGCATACCATACCTACCTTAGCTATATAAAATGTGGCCATGTCCCTAAAACATCTGAATTGTGGCAATGACAAGAAATTGGAGGAAGTCTTACACTGCTCCCTCTGTGAAGCAGTACGTGCAACAGGACAAAGATACTCAAGCTTACTTTTTTTTTTTTTTTGGTTTTTCTCCGGTACCAGGAACCGAACTCACGACCTTGCGCTTGCCAGGCAGGCGCTTTTGCCGCTGAGCTAAATCCCCAGCCCCTCAAGCTTACTTTTTGTAGAATTTGTTCCTCAAAGAATCTCATGCGTGGGAGCTCATCAGGTAGAAAGGATAGAAGCAAAGTTGCTTTGTTAAAAGTCACTGAGAGTTTACAGCAGTAATTGTTTGGGATGGACTAGAGTCATTAGATGAAGCCTGCTGGGCCTTTAAGGATGCTTGAGCTGTGGATGGCAGAGAGGATAGGGAGAAAGGGCAGAAGAATGGTCCACAGTAAGCAGGATGTGAGTGTGCAAAGCGTTCAGGATGGGGCCTAGGAAAAATGGGATGCCATGCAGCGCGGAGCACGAGGGGGCTTGTGCTGCAGACTACGAATGCTCTCAGCCGCTGGACTGAACTGGGCTGAACAAGATGAGCTGCTGTTTCACTTTTGAGCATAACTGCGTCAGGGTTGCTAAAAGTCTTATCTAGAGAAAACTTTTAATCATTGTCAGAAAAGGTTTATTCCATAAACATTTCCTTTGGAAAAGAGGGCGTCCGCAGTACTGCAGAGCATACCGTCTCAAGAAGGCGGATGCACTCAGTAGCAGTGGCTAGTGAAAGTATTTCTAAAAGAAGAGGATACTCTCGAGCCTGTGTAGTGACTGCAAAGTCCCCATTCTATTTCTTGTCTGAGCTTGAGAGTTGTATTAGTGAGCTGGGCCAGCACTGCCTTGGATTCATAAAACCTTAGCGCATCCAGTTTAGCATCCTAAAACCAGGTAGAAGTCACTCAGTTCACAACAGAGGACTAGTTTCTATTGTTTTTTTGTTTTTGTTTTTTTTTTTTAGCTGTACACATGCAGAGGATTGACTCTAACCCCCTATCTTTCACCAAAATGGATCAGACTAAAAAATGGATCAAAGATCCAAATGTTTTAAACAGAACAGTCTGCTGGAAGATAAAATAGGTACAACTCTTGATGACGTAGGCATAGGCAAAGACTTCCTAAACAGAACCCCGATGACCCAAGAAATACCAAGAATCAACAGATGGGATTATATAAAATTAAAAAGCTGCACAGCAAAAGAAACAACCAACAGAATAAAGAGAAATCCTGCCGAATGAGAAAAAAATCTTCCCAGTTATTCCTCCAGGACCAATCTTTACATTACATAAAGAACTGAAAGAAAAAAAAAATTAGACCCTTCAAAATGAAAGACTCAATTAAATGAGCAGCTGAAATGAATAGACACTTCTCAGAAGTACAAATGGCCAGCAAATACATGAAAAAAAAAAGTTCAACATCTCTGGCTATTAGAGAAATGCAAATTAAAATAACATTTAAGATTCCAACTTAACCTCGAAAGAATGACTATCATCAGTAAATCAATAACAAATGCTGGTGAGGCTATGGAAGAAAGGAACTCTTCTCTACCATTGGTGGGAATATAAACTAGTCCAACCACTGTGGAAATCAGAATGGAGATTCCTCAAAAAACTAACTAGACATTCTATTTGACCTAGCTATTTCTCTTCTAGGTATCTTCCCCAAAGAGCTAAAGTCATCACAGTACAGATTGACGTGCACACCTATGTTTATAACAGCACAGCTCAGAATAGCTAAGTCTTGGAAGCAGTCCATATATCCATCAACAGATGAATACATAAAGATAAAAATTTTTTTGAGGCAAGATTTCACTATGTAGTTCAGGCTGGCCTCAAACTTGGTGATCCTCCTGCCTCAGCCTCTTGAGTGCTGGGATTACAAGTGTGTACCACCAGGTCAGCCAGGAAAATGTATTTAAATAGAATAAATTACTGCTGTGCCATAAAGAAGGATAAACAAGTCATTTGTAGGAAAATGGATGTACCCTTGAGTCCATAATGTTAAGTGAAATAAATTAGTTGCTTAAATATCACAGTTTCTCTTACATGAGAACCTGCAATGTAAAGAGTAAAATAAAAGGTAGGAAATAGGGAGATAGATCTTTTGCAGAAGAGAAGGGATCATAGGGATGAGGGGTAAGGAAAGGAAAGAGAGGGGGATGAAAGAAGAATTTAGATGTGTTTGTATATTATCACCCCGCAAGGAGTGTAATCATCATGTACTGAAAACATACGAGTAACAAAAATTTAATAAAAAATACTTTAGGGTGGGGACATGGCCAGTAGTAAGCAGAGCACTTGGCTAGCATGTGTACAGCCCTGGGTTTGATCCCTAGTACTGAAAAAAAAGTATTTTAAAATAAACTCCTGCCCTTATAAAAGTTACATTCATTATGGAGGACAAGAAACCATCTTTTAGCTTTATGTAACATGTACGTGAATGACTAGAGTGCATCACACTTTTTCATTCTTACCATTTTCGTAAGTATTAGATCGACCAGCTCTCTTACTCCTTCGTCAGCGTCTTCTTCGTGTGACTCTTGGTGTATGCTGTTCTTCAGCATGTCAAATATTTCCTCTCGAGAAATATAACCGTCTCCATTCAAATAATAGACTTCAAAACAGACTTTGAAAAGCATAGGAAGTGTGAAAGACATAAAAGAACAACAGTAAAAATGTCATTAGTCCTTTCCTTGGTTATTTCAACATAAGATACCAAAGGCTAAATATAATTTATACACCATAAATTTATTGATATAATCCAGTACATAGTAGAGAAATTTTACAGTAAAGCACTGTTAACATTTCTTTCCACAAGATTAAAGACCCTTTGGGATTTGGGAAGAAAGGTATGCAATTCCTGGATTTTGGTATGGTGAGCTTAAAAATTTTATGAAGCTTCAATAAAAGATAAAACCTTTACACCTTTGTGCATTCATGTGTACAATCCATCAGTACTAGGATTCTCTTATATGGAGAATGCAGTGAAATACTTTATCACTGAAAAAGAACTTTTATCAGGTTGCACAGTGAGTCAGTCATCTCCACAGAGCCTGCTCTTGTGCACCATCCCAAATTATCAAATAATCTCTTCCTGGAGGGAGATTTCCAGCTCACTGTGTAAGCACTGGAATTCATTCATTCATCCCACGAACAGCCCTCCTCAGATCCTGGGAGGACAGCAGTGAAGGAGCTCTCGTGCAGTGTATGTCTAGTTAAGTGTTTCGGCAAAAGCAGTGGAGCCAGGAATAAATTCCAGAGAATCAGGTGAGTTGTGTCCAATCAATAGCATAAGGAATTGCACTACAGCCTTCCTACAGGAAGTACTATAGGATTTCTGGCCCTGCATGGTGACACGTGTCTGTGATCCCAGCACTCTGGGAGGCCAAAGCAGGGGGTTGCAATTTTGAGCCCAGCCTGGGGAATTCAATGACTTAGATCCTGTCTCAAAATTTTAAAAAGTTTAATGAATGAATGAATTTATGAATGAATTCAAAAGGTCTGGGAATGTATCTCAGTGTGAAGGCCCTGGCTTCAATCTCAAGTACTGAAAAAAGTATTATTTGCCCCAAATTAACATCTTTTTTTTTCCTGCTAGGGACTGAATCTAGCACTTTGTATATGCTAGACAAGCACACTCACTACTGAGTTACATTCTCAGCCAACGTATTTTCAAATGTAAAGGAAACATCTTAGGAAGTGTGAATAGAGGAAGAAAATCTTTTTGACAGAGTGACGCTGTCCTACCATATACAGTTGTTTTCAGCATCACAGGCCTTTCCCCAGCTATTAGTATTAGCAGAGGATTCACATTCACAGAATCTAGCGTTTCACTTCTCAGTGAGACTTTTGTATAAGAATGCTGCGGGGCTGGGAAGACAGCTCGGTGGCAGAGCGCTTGCTTGCCTAGCACGTGTGAATCTCTGGATTCAGTCCCTGGTACCACAAAACAAAACACCGCAGCAAGCTTAAGGGCAAACTATATTTACATGCTATCTCAGGAGAAATTAGGGTGGAGGTGGAAATACAAAAAAAGTCAAATGTCAGGGAAGTTTGATGACTTAAGAACCGTTGCTATAATTTTTAAATGTATCTTAATTTAGTGATCTTCTTTAATGTCCCAAAGCCAAATTCAAGTGAAAGGTTAAGAATGGATAAACATTTGCTCACTTACATAGAAGTCGACAGTCTTTCCTTAAGCAAACAGATGTACACTTTAAGGCAGTTTGTTTCTTTGAAAACTGTTACTTAAAATCGTTCCTATTCTTTCCAGAGTTCCTCACCCCAAATCCTGACACCAGAGGAATAAAGCATGCGGACATCTCCCCAGTGGGACAGACCAGGGCTATTTCTAGGCAAAATTGTGACCTGGGAGATTATTGCCTGCGAGTTCCTGATGTTATGTTTAAGGTGAAAGCTGCCTTTGTAACATCCTTCCGTTTGGGCTTGCATTGTCTGCATTCAGCCTTCTCTATTCATTTCCCTCGATCATCCATAACGGTTCTAACAGTAAAGAATTAATGTCGAGGGGCTGGGGATTTAGCTCAGCAATGCAGCACCTGCCTGGCAAGCACAAGGTCATGAGTTCGATTCCCAGTACCAGAAAGAAAAAAAAAAAGCCAAATAATTAATGTCTGGTAGTGCCTCTTTTGTTTTCTTTGATGCAAAGACAAAGAATGACCCTAAAGTAACACATGTTCTGCCCCATATCAAGGTCTGCTTCCTGCAGAGGACAGAGGCAGCCTCAGAAACCTCAGTGTTACTTGCTGATCAGAGTTGGCAGGAGCCTGACCCTCAACTTAGGCCATGAGCTGAAAGACCCATCCGGGTGACCCTGAGCGTTGTAGAACCTGTGAACCAAGACTGAAGACTTCAGTGACCTTAAAACTAGGCTGCTCATTTCACTTGTTTGGTCTCAAGCTGTCATGAACAGTGTTTGCAAGGTTGTTATACCAAACATTAATCTCATGTGTTTAGAATATAAACTTAATCAGATACTAAGTTGACAATATATATTAGCCAGAAATCCTATCTTACACTTCAGCTTTTCTTCAAAAGTTCCTCGGAGAAACACTGATAATCCTCTAACCCACTCTTCTACATTTACGTAGTTATCTTTGTTTCTGTCAAATGCATAAAACACTGAAAGAAAAATATGTAGGTTATATACATATATAGGTTATATATATATATATATAGGAGATATATATATCTGTATATGGATAAAAAAGTTCCAAATTGAAAAGGAAAAAAGGTTTTGGTAAAATCTTTTATTTATTTATTTATTTATTTTGTCTTTTTGAGATAGGGTCTCTCTATGCAGTTCAGGCTGGCCTTGAGCTCACTTTGTAGCCCAGGCTGCTCTCAAACTCACAACGATCCTCCTGCCTCAGCCTCCCAAGTGCTGGGATTACAGGCATGTGCCACTACACCCAGCTAATCTTTTTGAAAAGATAAAAATTATTTGAAATATGTTTTCCCGAATATCCTTAAAGTAAAAACTAATCTGCTCCATTAGCAATTATAAGCTCCATTTATGGTTTTTTGCTTTTCTTGTTTTTAGACAGGCTCTCATTGTATAATCCAGGCTGGCCTTGAACTCACTATATAGACCAGGCTGGACTTAAACTCGGGCTCCTGATCCTCCTGCCTTAGCCTCCCAAGCCCTGGGATTAGAGGACATGCCACCATGCCTGGCTGTTTGTGATGTTTTGTGCACTTATTAGGAACCAAGGAGACAAATGGTGGAGCTAATCAATGACATAGTTTTTATTCTAAAAAAAAAAATAGTGAAAATTCTGTTCTAAAGAATTTCCACAATATCTAAAGGTAAATTACTGAAATAATACATTATTTTTATAATTACCAATGAAATATAGTATTATCCTATGGAAGATTAATTAAAATGTTTTTTCTTAGGGATGATATATTAATTATTTTGATTATGGTAATAGTTGCACACATTTGTACATGTGTCAAGACTTACCAAATTGTACACTTTAAAGATAAAGATGTTTCTTTTTTTTGAGGCAGGCCCTCACTCTATAATTTAGGCAGGCCTGGAAATCACTGTGTGAAAGCCAGCCTTAAACTCTCAGCAATTTTCCTGCCTCTCAGCCTCCCAAGTGCTGGGATTATGGGGGTGCACCACCAAGCCCGGCAAAGATCTGTTTCTAAAACTAACTGGATTAAATATATAATAAATATATAATTTTCTTTACTTTTTCAGTGTAGTGAGTCATTATTTTTTATATTGATTGGTACGCTATTTTTATGAGGAAAAAATGTGTATAGAATATGATTCCAAAGAAAACACGATTAAAAGCCACGGAGCTGCTTATCTTTTAAACAAGAATACCTCTAGCTCAGTTAGTTTATTTCTGATTATTTCTCAGAACCGCACAGCTATGCATAAGCAGTTCTGCGTAAGCTTGTATTCTGAATCTAGTAGTTTGTAGCACTGTATTCTTGGCACTATAACTTTCTAGTGCGGCACTGAAAACAATCCAGTCTGTGATGAAAGTTGCATACATACAGTTTCCGTCTTAAACGGGCAGTGTGGTCTCTGTGGCATCTTACCCCTGTTCATCAGCATATCGTCAGTCATTCCAAATACGTCGTGCAGGATCTCTCGAAATGTGCTCTGATCCAGCCCAGTATTACCAGTTTTTTCCAAGAAGCTGTGAAAAAGTTTTATGAGGCACTCTACTTCACTTTTTTTGACTGTGAAATGAAAAGAAATACAGCAGATTTAAACACGAATTCAACCCCATTAAATATTTTGCTAAGCGGTTATTTTGTTCCTATGATGCTAGGTGGTCTGGTTGTATCAAAATATGTACAACAGGGACGTAATAAGAGTTTACACAGTTCAACTAGGCCTAACTCATAAGGCAGTATGGACTGCTGGCTTACATAATACTGCATTCATCACTAGAGACATATAAACAGGGAAACTGGGCTGGTCATGGTGGCTCATGCCTGTAATTCCCCTGAGTAACTTCAGAGGCTGAGGGAAGATGATCACAAGTTCAAGACCAGCCTGGGTAACTTAGTGAAACTCCCATCTCAAAAAATAAAAAAGGCTGGAGATGTAACTGAATGGTAGAGCGCTTGCATAACATGTGCAGACTCTGGGTTTAAATGCAAGTCACACACACACACACGAAAGAGGAATTAGTTTGTGAAAGGGGCACTGCGACATTTCCATGGGAGAAGTCGACTCTGAACTGGCCCTTGAAAGTCTGATAGTGTTCACTTAGGAAGGACTGTGCAAAGTGTGGTAATGAAGTGGGGTGTTCTAGGGAAAGTGGTCACCATGAATAAAGGAGAGAGGCAGAATTCGGCTTGAGATCGAACATGGCCTAGAGGGAGTGTGACGAGGTGACAAGTGAAAACCACGGTGGAAGAGGGCGGGCTGATGTAAAGTCTCAAATGCCTGTGCCTAGGGCTAGCAGTTATTGTACAGGTGCAGTGTTTCTGATGGGTTTTTTTTTTTTTGAGACAGGGTTTCACTATGCATTTCAGGCTGGTTTTGAACTCACTTTGTAGCCCAGGCTGGCCTCGAACTCACAGCTGAGATTGTCCTGCCTCAGCTTCCCAAGTGCTGGAATTATAGGCATGCACCATCATGACCGGGCTATGCTGTCACTTTTGGACCGCCTGTGAGATTCATGGTCTCCAGCGCCCCAGGCTTGTTAAGTATTCAGATTCCCAGGATCTGCCCCAAGTCTAAATCAGAATTGCTAACAGTCCTCCCAGGAATGAGCTTTAAAACAAGAGCTCATTGTGCGGGGCGTGGTGGGCACGCTTGTAATCCCAGCACTCAGGAGGCAGAGGCAGGAGGATTGTTGCAAGTTCGAGGCCAGCCTGGGCTACAAAGTGAGATCAAGGACAGCCTGAACTGCATAGCAAGACACTGTCTCAAAAAGACAAAAAAAAAAAAAAACCCCAAGAGCTCATTTTAATCCTATCCTCTATGTGTTGAGAATCCGAAGCCATTAAAGATTTTGGAGCTGGAGACCATGACAGAGTGGTTCAGGAAAACCTTTCTGGCAAAGTTATACTGAAGGAAGAAAGCTGGAAGCCAGGCACAAAGTGATAAGGCTTTGGCTAAGGAGCTGGGGAAAAGGATAGAAAAGCTGGGAGGGAGCCCGAGGTGCTGTAGAAAATCAGTAGCCTTTGTAACTACCAGGTGCACAGCTTTGAAACAAATCTTCACATACTTGAGTTTCACTCCAGACGCAGTGAAACACGATTACGAAGTGCACAGATGGTTCAGGTGCAGTCAGGGCTGAGAACACAGCTTAGACTTGGTGGCTTGGGAACATCTGGTTTCCATTTTGTTTATCAACTTCATTGCTTTGTTACGCCTTAGTGTCCTCACTTTCAGAAATGGGGTATTGTCCTGGTTGATCACTAAGACTCCTCATTCTCTAGAAGTCTAATTTTGTGAATCAAAGATTACTTGAAAGAACTACAAGAGTTAGGAATGAAAGCTGGTTACTGTTTTTTGTTTCCTCTTCCTCCCACCTCTTCCCCTGCTTTCTCCTTTTTACACTGGAGGCGAGGAGAAAGAATTACGTTAGAAGCTGTTTTTGAGGTGATTGTAAGTACCCAAGTGAAGTCAAGGACAAATATATAGCAGATATTCAGTTTACAACACGAGGGTTGCTATGTGGTCAGAAGAATGACTTGGTTTTCAGGGGAATGATTAGAAATATAAAGAATAAGCAGTTACAAAAGTGCCTAGTAATACTATTTTATGAACCAAATTAGTTTCTCTGGCTCCTTAGTATAATTTCATATTGTAACAATGAAGTCCTGAATAGCTGTGAAGATTACTGTTATATATCTATCCATCATGGTTCCGTCTTCATGGCTGTTATACACTGGTTAAGAGATAACACAGTCTTGCAGGTATATTCTGAGAACTACAGCTTTGTTGTGCCAGATGGCAGAACTGTTTGACTTCTCTGATAATCAGGGAACTTACTAAAAGTTTGCCTGGCAAGTTATCAGATTTGTGTTTAAGGAAAATCATTTTGACAGTAAATTCTTGAAGCTATTTATGGTGAATTCCAGTGTGGCAGTTTATATTTTCCTAGATGATCTTAACAATCTAATCTCATCATGCATGCTCTTCTCACAATGTGGCTTTGATCCTCCTCTTTAGAGATGGGGGTCTAGAACTCTTCTCTTTAAACCGGAGGAAAACCAAAAAGAAAAAGAAAAAAATTTTTCGCTAGTTTTATTTTTGTGTGTGTGGGGTACCGGGAATCGAACTCACGACCTGTGCTTGCCAGGCAGGTGCTGTGCCACTGAGCTAAATCCCCAGGCCCCGAAAGAAGCCAGTCACAGAAGCCACTGGTGATTTTTTTTTTTTTTTCCTGGTACCGGGAACTGAGCTCATGACCTTGCACTTGCCAGGCAGGTGCTGTGCCGCTGAGCTAAATCCCCAGCCCCGAAATTTTTTTTATGATCATTTCACTCAACAGCGTACAGTGGAAATGAACCTCTAAAGCTTACAAGGCTAGATCATAAAGGAGATAGAGTTCCTCTGAGGGCTACAAGAAACTTAGCCTTCTTGTTTGGAATATGAAGAAACAGAAAGTTCAGATGTGGATGCACTATATGGAGTGCAGTTTGGAATAACTTTAATAGTATTGTTTAGTTTGAAAAACTGTTTAGTTTAAAATAATTTTAGATTTACATGAGATGCAAAGGTAGTACAGAGTTCTTACACTGTTTTCATGCAGTTTCTCCATGTTAATGTGTTCATTACCTTTGTGTCACTGTGACAAAATACTTACGAAAATCAGCTTAAAAGGAGGTAAGATTTAGTTTGGCTCAGTTTCAGAGGGTTCAGGCCATGGTGTTTTGGCCTGATCACTTGGGGTCTGATGGAACATCACGGCAGAAGCATATAGAAGAAGCTGCTCTCTTCACAGCAGCCAGGAAGCAGTGAGGGGAAGGGGTTTAGGTCCTAAAATCCTCTTCAAGGACATGCCCTCAGTGACCTACTTCCTCCAGCGAGGCCTCACTTCCTGATGTTTCCACCCCAACCCAACTGCACTGCCAGCTGGGGACCAAGCATCCAACATACGAGCCTCTGGGGGACCTTCCAGACCCAAACTGTAGTAGTTAACATCTTACATGTAACTGCGGTACATTTGCCAAAGCCAGAATACCGTACTAACATTGGTGTGTTACCCTTAGTACACTGTAGACTTTATTTGGATCCCAGAAGTTTCTCTACTGGTCTTTTTGTTGCTGTTCTAGGATTCAGTCCAGGATTACATTTAGTTGTCATGTCTCCTTCAATTCTGTGATAGCCTTGTTTTCTTGCTTTTCCTGACTTTGACAGTTTTGATTTTGTGAAATATTTATCAGTTTACTTTGCCTGTTTTTCTCATGATTAGACCATGTGCGTATGTTTTGGGGAAGGCCACTGAGGCGAAGAGGTGTTCTCTTCATGTATCAGGTGATACATGGCATTGATACGAGGATCACTGCGGGTGTTAACCATGATTCCTTGGTGAAGCTAGAGTGGGCCACATGTCCACTGAAGTTACTATTTTTCCCTTTCCACGGCTGTTTTTGTGGTGCTGGAGATTGTATTTGTCAGCCACTTATAAATTGGAGTACTTGTCAGATTTAGAGAACTGAAGTAGGAAACACTAAGAAATACGGTAAAGGAGAGTCACTTCTACGTGCCAGAATGATGTTATAGCAAATAATATGACATGATTAGGACCAATTTAGTCTGTTTTCAGGGAAAATTCTGAATGCTTGGCCCCACTTGCAGCGATCTGTAATACTTCTGGTGTTACATTTTCAGCACAAATCTTTCGGTGATTCTGATGGTACAGATCATCATCATGGCGCATCTTTTAGAGCTTCCAGTGATGCTGCTTGCTGCGGCATGCGTGCCATGGGTTCGCCACCGCCAGCGTAGAAACTCCCATCCTACTTCCAGTAAGAGACATACTGTACAGCCAGTGCTGCCCACAGAACATGTGGGCCCCATAGGATCTCGAGTTCAAGGCTAGCTGGGGGAACTTGGCAAGACCTTCTCAAAATAAAACTGAAAGGAGGGCAGAATGTCAGAGCTGGGGAGAGTTCAGAGTGAGAGGCCCAGGTTACACTCCCCAGTACTGAAAAATATTTTTGTTGAATTTAATGTAGCTCATCCTACTTTCAACCAGGACATACACTGACCTTCCTCATTACTGGGATTTTTGTCTTACAACAAGGTCTTTCTATGTAGTTCAGGCTAGCCTTGAACTCATGATCCTGCTTCCCAGCAGAGTTTGGTTCTTAATGCATAGAAACAAAGAGAGCTGACAGAGCTGCCACTACCTAGGCCCCAAGAAGGGTCTCTGTTTCTATTAGGTTTCTGTGTACAAAATTCTAATTGCCCCATGTGGCAGGAAGTTGACGTCATCCTTCCTAGTCCTGACTTTAGAGCTTCTTAGGAAGGAACCTTCATAATTTACTAGGCCTCGTGATCAAAAAGTTCTTGTCCAAACAGGTACTACTACGGAACTCTCAGACCCCGGAAAGCTGATTACCTCCAGAGACCTCAGATTCCTTACCACTGCAGTGGTTACTTTTTTCCAGACAAATGTAGGACGTTTAATATTCTAGAGTTAGTAAAATTTGTACCCGTTAAATCAGTGTACTGCTTTCTGGAGCTGCACTGTTCAATGTTGTGACCAGTAAGTACATGCGATAAAGTTTAAAATCCCATTTACTGGGTTATCCTAGCTACTTCTCTGGGTCACTGTTCACGTGTGGGTGATGGCTGCCCAACTGGATAGCACAGATCTAGAGTAAGTTCTCCTGGATGGTGCTGCTATAGAGGCAATTCCAGTCCCTTTTCCAAATAATGGCCTCTTAACCTAGTGGGGAAGGAGGTAAGCAGTCATCTCTGGGTGTGTCGGCTTCATGGATTAAGTGCAAGCTGCGCGTTCTCCTGAGGTCCATGCTTGATTCAGTGTTGTACTATCACCGAGAGCTTTTTTTCTTTCTTTCTTCTTTTCCTAGTACAGTAAGTCCCTAGCTTACAGATGAGTGCCATTTTGGGAGAACATTTTGTAAGATGGGTTAGTTCGTAACTTGACAAAGTGAGTCTTATACAGCACACCTGTGAAAGTTTGCAACTTGAATATATGTTAAGTCTGGGCTTACTGTACTGGGTACTGAACTCAGGACTTTTGCACTACATCCCTGTACTTTTTGTTGTTTGAGTCTTGCTAAGTTGCCCAGGCTGGGCTCTGACTTGTTCCTTGACTCATCCGCCCCGAGTGCTGAGATTCCAGGCCTGTGCCATCACACCCGACACCGCACTAGCTTTAATAAGCACACACTTGTGGTATGCAGAGCACCATGCTGTTTCTTCAGTATCTACTTATACATCTCTACGAATGTCCTGGAGTAGGACCATCATCTGTCAATATGAGTTTTGTGCCAAAAAACCTTAGGGAACTGGATGAAGTAAAACCTTTCTAATTCAAAATTTATTACATGTCAGTAAGACTATAATACAATCAGTCCTTGGTTGGCAGGTGACTCTAGTATTTGTCGCATAATTTTTCAATTTAGTCTTCTCATCACCAAAAACATTTTAGGATGGTTAAGCTGTTTTCTGTATAAGCAAACATAATTGTTCATTTGCTGACCTACTTTTAAAATGGCCAAAATAACAGATAGAAATGGAGGACTCTATTTTAGGGTTACAGTGCACTTACTAACATCTAACTAGGAGGTCTGTCCACATCTCATGTTGAGGCACTGATGGAAGTAGGGTCAGTACTTACAGCTCTTGACAGTTTTACTGATGGAGTTTACCAGTTTCCTCAGAGCCCCCTGATCCATGCTGAACATGGCTTTAGCACACCGAAGGCCTCTAGTCTAGCTCCAAGCCTGGATGGTCTGAGCAGCTCCTAATTCCAAGGTTCACTACTCCAACCCATATAGAATGTGACCATGGCAGCTTCCTGGCAACAAAACAGAAGGTTCTCAAGTAGTTGGAAAAATATGTAACAGTGGGTGCTACCACTCAGTAGGTATGCAGGAATTCACTAAGGTTGTTATTGTAAGCTGGAACAGCAATTCCAATGTTTATCTTGTTTCATATTATTCTGATTGATATTTCTTCAGCAAAAACTGAAAATGTTTTTCTATTTGAATACACAGTAACTAAAATTATTAAGACCTTATTCTTTAAGCTTATGTCCCAGGTCATGAACAGTTCCTTCAAAAGTTACAAGCTTCTGTAACTCTAGGAGGTCCAAACAGAAGCTTCAAATGGGAGCTTCTAGAATGTAAACTCACTTTATACCTCCCAGGTTAGATCAGACTGGTAAGAGAACATGGTGCGACTATGCCGAAGCTGATCAGAATGTCAGCTGTTCTAACTCCTGTGAGATCCAGGTAGAGAACAAACATCTTCCAGTCTATGTCTGCCGCCTTTTACCCTGTAAGTCAAGAAAATATATTAGAATGTTTAAAATTTAGGGTGCAATGTTCTTTTTCATTTTTATTCTTGTGCCAGGGTTGGAATCCAGGGCTTTGCAAGGCCAGTGCTCTACCACTGAGCTACATCCCTGGCCTTAGGATGCAATACCCTTACCGAGATCATTTTGGGGGGGTGCTGGGAACTAACACCAGGCCTTAGATTCTGCCACTGACCTACATCCTCACTCGTCTTACTTTTTCCTAAGGTAAGTGTGTTTGTGTCGGAGCTTTCCAAAAACCTTCCTTACAAAAATAAAGTGAATGCCCATCAGCTTCAAGTTAAAATGTGGGAAATTTTAGTGAAACCTGTCACTAAGTCTCAAGAACAGCAGTACTGACAGGGTTTCTCCACTACTCTACTGTTGTTGTTTGTTTTTTTTTTTTTTCTTTCTGGTACCAGGAATCGAACTCACAACCTCGCGCTTGCCAGGCAGGCGCTGTGCTGCTGAGCTAAATCCCCAGCCCCACTCTACTGTTTATAATAAACAGAACATTAAGGGATAGGTCTTTACTATACCTTGATAGGAGGAATATGAACCTGTATTTTGCATAAAATAAAATCAGGATACTTTATGGTGCTTAAAACACCTAAATATAGTAAAGGTAACCAAAGGAATCTCAAGTGACAGGAAGTAGGTAACACTGGTATAAATCCATTTTCTCACCGAGAAACCCACCCCAACTTTTGGAATTCTCCCAGTGCCAGTCCATGCAGCATGTCTTGGGGATCTAAAATTAAGATGAAGTTACTCAAGAAAAAGTGGCTTGGTGGAGGGAGATGTGTTAATTACTTGTACACTGTAGTAAATATGGGCTAAACTAACTGATAGTACCCTGTCAGATATTCTTTTTTAGTCCTTACTGAAGACTAGAAAATCACCATCAGAGAAACCATGAAAAAAGGTGTTTCCAAAGAGTCAGGAATCTGAAAATATAAATTTTTTGCAGATCAGTTTCTTCCCCTTTCTCTAATTTAATGAGCAGTTCCTTTTAGCGGGATGTAAATGCCATATTCCCTTTTTTGGGGAGGCGGGTACTGGGAATCAAACTCAGGACCTTGCACTTGCCAGGCAGGCGCTTATGCCACTGAGCTATATCCCTGGCCCCATATTCCCAATCGTTCTGTGAGGTTACACTTTTACATTCACAGAAAAACTCATCAACGACCTAATAAACTTCTTAGCATGCCCATGAATAACTATTTTGAGAAACTGTCTTGTGGGATGTGAAATTTTCTTCCAATTTTCTGTGTCCTGAAGAGCACAGAAGTATGTTTTATTAGGAAATAGTAGACAGCATTAAGTGTACTATTTAAAGAAACGTCTCAAGCAATGTGTTGTTCTTACAGCTAAAAACTTGAGATATATCATATTTACTACTAACAGCAAATAGCATTTATCTTTATAGCTTTCTGTGGCCTAAAGGGACATACAAACACAGCTATTTTTAAGTAAAATAGCTATTTATTCAGCTTCTTGTCATGCCAAAATGTTCTGTGCATATACCACTATAATTAGCACACCCTCTGTAACAGGCAAAATTGTACATCAAATTATATTTCATATTACCTGATTATATAAAAATGTAAAATGAAAATGATTTATCAATTCCTTTTAACATTCCTAATAATTCATTAAGAGATATGAGGCACAAAATCTTAGTAAAATATGACACAAGAAGAGCAGTAATACAATTCTCACTTAAATTTAACTTGTCATAATCTGTTAGGAATATACAAAGACAACAAACTTTTAAAACATTGTATTTACTAAGATTCTGGCAATAGCTTTATGTAACAAGATACAGCATACCAGGCCTGCCACTCAACTTGTTTATAAGTCTCAGCTTCAATATGAAGCTGTTTAAAAACAAAAACTCAAAACCTGCTTTTTACATGCTAAATATCCTGGCAAGGGTGCCATTAAACATAGTAATGAACTGGAGACTGTAAGAATAAAGAGTTAATAAAAGCTAAACATTGCAGCCTAAACAACATTCATACAAAAAAATAAAGTAACTATCGTTGGTTACATAAAATTTTCCTGACTGGTTAAAACTTAACAGTATAAAACATGCACTTTAGAATCTTTAGCTATTAGTTCAAAAAGTACCAGTGTCTATATGAAACAATTCCTCTCCAAAGCCAAAGTATAGTCAAAAATTAATTCAAATGACGTAACACATTCTAAAGCTAAAAAACATTCAGTTATTACGGATGTGGAGGTGAACTCAGAGCTCTGGGGCTTCTCATGCTGCAAAGGGTTGTTTCTGTGGTTCACTCAAAGCAGCATACGACAGAGTCCAGGAAGCTCAGTAAAGGGAAAGACGCTCATACCCGGCTCTGACCTCCCCAGGGAGCTTGGCTACTGTGTCCACAGAAGTAGGGGGTGTGAGGATCAAAGGCACACTATTCTGCTAGCTAAAGACATAGCAAACCACCCCCCCTCCACCCTAAAAGCTCATTCCCGAGGTAAATAAAAAGTATACAAGGGGGGGAGTTAAAATACACTTATCTACACAGTAAGGATTTCAAAATTAATATAATCCCTACTTTAAAAACTTTAACTAGAGTCATCTGGATATTTCTGATTACACCTTAAAGATGTATCCAGATTCAGTTTCTACTGAGTTATCACTAGATACTTCTAGTCAAAAATATTAGCTTTCTTCCCAAGTGTCTTAACCACAAGTATGACTGCAGTGTGTGATCTCCCAGGTTATCGCGCACTGGAGGAGAAAAGGTAGATGTTCAAGCAGCAAGCAACAGTTATGGCCCTTTCACATAGCGGCATCGGAGTAGCTATTGAATAGTCCAGGAACAATTCTAAAAACAAGAAAATTCATGCATTTTAGTAAATATATCATAATTTTCACAGTTGAAATTTCCTTAGACATTGCACTTTCTTCATAGGGGAATCCTGGTTTTTGTTAATGTTATGGTGAGTCAGGACTTGAGCTAGCAGCCTTCTTTTTCTTCTTCTTGCTGTGTTTCTTATGCTTCTTTTTCTTTTTTGTTTTTTCCTGTAAAGATAACTCCATGTTAGACATCACTACATGACAAAAAACAAATTAAGAACATCCTTCCTGTGCTACTTCTAAGCTACTTCAATCCATATAATTAAGTAAAATACTCGGACATTTCTCAAAATATCTCAACGACAGTATCATGTAAGGACTGAGTTCTTGTCACTTTATATTTATTTTTATTTATTTATTTATTTATTTTGGAACCAGGAATTGAATTCAAGACCTTGCACTTGCCAGGAAGGTGCTGTGCTGCTGAGCTACATCCCTGGCCCCTTGTCGCTTTCTAGAAGGATAGGGAACACTCTGAAGTCATTACCACAGCTTGTAACAAAATTTCCTGTACAAAATAAATTCAATTGAATCATGCTATCAATTGCTGTTCCTCATGCTATGTATTTTTTTTTTTTGAGACAGTGTCTTGGTGTGTAGTTTAGACTGGCCTTCAATTCACTGTGTGGCCAGGCTGGCCTCTAACTTGCAGCAATCCTCCTGCCTCAATCTCTTGAGTGCTGGGATTACGGGCGTGTACTACCCACACCCGGCTTCATGTTACATAGTTGTATAATTTTATGTTACATAATTTTTAAAGATAAATAACTGCAGCTATTACTGATTACATCAATTATGGTTTGTTATCACACCACAGTAAAACATAATTATTTTGGTAAAATAATAGTTATCAGAGAGAAAAGGAAAATTAAATTTGCTGTTCTAAAGTAGAAACAGAAGCCGGGAGTAGGGGTGCATGCCTGTAACCCCAGCACTCGGGAGGCTGAGGCAGGAGGATCGTTGTGAGTGAGAGACCAGCCTGGCTACATAGTGAGCTCACGGCCAGCCTGAACTGCATAGTGAGACCGTGTCTCAAAGACCAAAAAAAAAAAAAAAAAAAACAAAAAAAGTAGAATATTAATGCCAACTCACTGATATAAAATAATGATGTGTAGCTGAAAAGTGTTTTGGTTAGGAAAAGAGATGCTTCATTTTACAGGGAAATGCTACTGACGCTTAGGAAAAACAGTCAAATTCCAAGCGGCGTAAAGGAAGCTAGGGTTCTGTCAGTCTCCAACTCTCCCAGTTGCTGCTACTGGAGAAGTGAAAGCAGAATTTCTAGAAAGACAGATACTCAGGAAGGTGGCAGCAAATGCAAGACTACTGTTCGTGCAAGGACAAGAAAACAAAAAGCAAGAAATGAGACAAATCAGCAGAGCTGCCCATCCACTTCCTTATCCACTGGCACCATCAGCACCCATCTTCTCTTGAAGGCCTCTACATTTCTGTAGTGTTGATGACTTTCACCACCCTTTTTCAGTACATACTTAATTTTTTTAAAATTTAGTTTTGTTTTGTTTTGTTTTTCTTCCAGTACCAGGAATCAAACTCATGGCCTTGTGATTGCCAGGCAGGCGCTTTTGCCACTGAGCTAAATCTCCAGCCCCGTACATACTTAAGTATACAGGGAATTTTACAGAGTCCAAAACCTTATAGTTTGCCACGTATCTAGCTCAGTGGCATAAGCACCTGCCTGGCAAGCACAAGGTCCTGAGTTCGATTCCTGGTACCAAAAAACCAAAACAAAACAAAAACTTATAGTTTGGTCATCCATCCATTCATTCATTTATTGAACCAGAACCTCTCTCATGATAGGTAAGTGCTCTACCATTAAGCTACATCACTAGTCCCACTGGGCTTTAAAAACTAGGTGGCCACTCTTTTCTTAAAATGTACATTTTTCTTCTATACCACCTCACCTTGCTAGTCTTCTTCTATTACAAAGCCTAGCTCCTTTCCTCTTCCTTCTCTTCTTTCCCAACACTCCCAGCCACATGTGTTACACTCCATGTAAGAACTGAGATGCTCACATCTTTACATTGGTCTTATGCTTTGGGTTTTTTTCTTTCCCCCAGTACTGGGAATCGAACTTATGACCTCGCGCTTGCCAGAGCAGGCGCTGTGCCACTGAGCTAAATCCCCAGCCCCCAGTCTTATGCTTTGAACTCCATGTTTTAAGTGCCTCGTTAAGATACACCTAGATATCTAGTAAGCATATCTAAAATCTGTAACAACAAACTTAAATTTTGTCTCCAAATCCTTTCTGAGGCATTTCAGTAAATGAGACTATTTGCCATTTTGCTTTAACTCAAAGAAATCTAAGCTATTTTTGGTTTTGCTTTTTTTAAAAACTCCATTCTCAACATCCGAAGTACCTAGTGAGTCTCATACCATCTAAGTACAAAAACATGTTTCAAATCCAACCATGCCAGTACCTTTTTATTACCAGCACTGTTGGTAACACTTCTTGACTGAGTCCACTCATCTCCTCTGCAAAAGCATGTTGAACGTGTCAAGTATTCAGGTCTCCTGTGCTAAAGTCCTTACAGTTTCTCGTAACACATTCTGATTAAAACTCAACCGCAATACCACAGGATATGGCTTGTGCTTCCCTCCCGACCTCATTACATGCTGCTCCTCCTCAGCCACCAGGTACCTATTCACCTTTCAGTTCCTCAAACGCATGAAGCACATCTCAGCACACATCCTCAGCTCATCTCCCCACCTAGGCTTTTCTTTCTTTAGGGCTTCACAATGGCTGGCTCTTTCTTATAAATCAGATTTTAGTTGAATTTTACTTCCTCAGACAGCTTTTTTCCGCCTGCCCTGCTAGGGTGCCAGGACAGAACTCGGGGCTGGCGTGTGCTAGGCAGCACCGTGCCACTGAGCCCCGCTCGGCCCCTCCGGAAGGCTTCTCACAGGCCCAGTCCCTCTCATGTGCACAGTGGCATCCTTCTTGTTTAGGAGGAGTGTGGAACTACTCAGATGCTGACTGCTGTCTGGTGGAAGGTCAGCAACGAAGGTGTGCAAGAACAAAACATCATCCGCAGTGGAGTAATCGTGTTACACCTTACAATTAATCTGAATCACAGACCAGAGTAGTCTCCACCCATATTATTTCCAGAAAAAAAACAAAACAAACAAACAAAAAAAAAAAACCAAGTCTCCTACCACCTTGGCCTACAAGCAGACACAGAACTACTTCTGAGCCACACATTCCCAGGTAAGCCCTCCTTCCTAACCTGGGAGGTCCTCATCTGAGAGCTCGGAAAAGCCGGTCCTGATGCTGCCCTCACCTCTCCTGCCCTTAAGATGCCTCCAAAGGCCACAACTAATGTGTGGACAGAGGGCCCTTACATTACCTGCTGATGGGGCAGGCACTGCTCTTTCAAAGTTTGTTAATGACTTCTCTTTGTTGGTTCTCATTTGGATATGGCTTCCATTTCTCCTTAATTCTTCTCTTCCTTCTTTTCCTTTGCTAATTCTCTATTTGCATAATGGGGGAACTGGTTTTAAAAACTATTAACAGAATCCTTGGTATGTGCAAGTCTTCCGATATTACTTTCTGGCTTTTTCACTGCGGCCAGCGCTTTGAGAGTTTTTCTGTCATTCTAGGTTTGCCTACGTAAGCTGTGCTTTATTACAGCTTCGAAACATCAACTAAAAGCTTGAGCTCTTATTTGTAACCCTAAGATCTGGGGACGGACACATCTGCTACCAGAGCTTTCTTCCTTTGTCCTAGGCCAGTCTGACCCTCTGCTCAGTGAAGCTGCTCACCACCACGCCTTTCCCAACCGTTCATTTGGTCCCAGGAGATTCAGCACAGTTCATGTCACATTAAAAGGAAATGATTCTGTGCTGTGATGTAAAAACGTAAGAGATACTTGCTGTTGCTTTTTCTCGTTCTTCACTGCTTTTCTTCTTTTTTGCTCGCACCTAAAAAGTGGAAATTTTTGTGAAGACGAACATGTAATTTGTACTCAATGCATTTTTCTCTCATTCCCTAATGTATATCTTACATCTTCAAAAGTTGCATGTACAATCATCCTTTTTTTGTACAATCATTCTGACAGTCACACACTATATATATATATATGAGGTTCTGATGAAATATATACAAAACAAGAAAATAAACTCTTAGAGCTCCAGAGGACTTCTTATAGTTCCATTCAGCACCAAAGAGCAGTGTGGTACTGTGGGGAAAAAAAACATGAGCTCTGAAGTAACAGGCCAGGAACTGAATCCTACCTCACTTTCATCATCTATAAGCAAGGAAGTAATACCTCGCTTTAAGGGGTGCCTGGAACACAGGAGGAATTTCTCTTGGTGAGAACAAATGGTAGCTACATATAAAGTATCAGCATAAACCAAGTGATTAAAATTCTTTTCATGAGTCAGGCATGGTGGCAAACCTGTGAGCTACCTGGGAGGCTGAAACAGGAGGACTGAAAGTTCCAGGCCAGCTTAGGCAACTGTGTCAAAATAAAAAGCCCTGGAGGTGTAGCTCTGTCATGGAGCACTTACCTAGCGTATGTGGGGCTGGGGATTTAGCTCAGTGGCACAGCGCCTGCCTGGCAAGCGTGAGGTCATGAGTTCAATTCCCGGTACCAGAGAAAAAAAACCCAAAAAACAAAAAAACAAAAAACTAGCATATGTGAGGCTCTGGGTTCAATCTCCAGTACCCGCCATCCTTTTAAGTAACAATTATCACCCCATTTTATTTTGACCTTTAAAGTGTGGCACATATATTAAAACTCATGTATATTAAGCGGTAAATACCAATGTAAGATACTTTACAGTAAACTTTACTTGTTACATAACAAATGTAATTAATATAAACTAGAGTTTAAAACTAACTGTTGAACTGACTGTGTGGTACACCTGTATGGTTGCTGCTCCTATAATACCAGTGACTGGGATGACAGCAGCTGTACGGCTGATGGATTTCAATAGGCAGAGATGAGGGATGCTGTCACGCCATGTCCTGGATGGCTCTGTACATGCTGGCTACGCATAATTCAAGGAATCAGTAACGAACCTGCTTATGATACTGAAAGTGAATGGATTAAAAAATGACTATGCAGTATTTTGCTCAGGACTTTAGGATACAATGCATACCCCAGAAATGCAAATATCTTATAAATAGGAAAAAGACAGAATTTAACTTCCTCGAGATCTTTACTAAATTTTGTCTACCATTCTGGAAAATGTCATTGGCAGCAGTGCTGATGAGTAGTTTCCAAAGATCATAAATGTCCTAGGCTACATCCTGCATTGTTTTTTTTTTTGTTTTCTTTTTGGCGGTACCAGGAATCAAACTCATGACCTCGTGCTTGCCAGGCAGGCGCTATGCCACTGAGCTATATCCCAGGCCCCATCTGCATTCTGTCTTAAGATTTAATGTTTCCTGCTGTTATCACAACAAGTATTTATATAACAAAATGTATTTTATCAAATTACATGTTATTTACTCCCTCTGTATTTCTGTTAGAGGTCAGCAATATAGAAATTAGTGCAGCAGTTTATACTAGCAATGAATTTTATCCCAGGAAGCACTGCAAAATATTGCTACAGACTGGGGGTGACAGGCCTGACAGGGTTAAAGGCCACTATTACAGATTACAGATCATACAATCAGAAAGAAGACGGGCACAAATAGAAAGGCAGAGCTCAGGGAGTGGGTAGTAAGGGACAGGGCAGACAGGCTGGGCAGGGTGGAAGCAGGAGGACCCTGGCACAGAAACAAGACAGGATCAGGAAAACCAGCTGGCACTCGGCTCATCTGTTATAGAAGGCCAGACCCTCAACTATGTAGACTACACTGTTGGCGGTGGACGTGTCGCTCTCTACAAAAGCTGCAGCTTTAAAAATCAGTAACTCTAGTGCAACCTTAGGTTAGAGTTTACTGTGCCACCAACTTTGCAGACTCTTTACTCTGTCCTAGGTATTATGTAAGGCCCTCCATAACTTATCACCTCATTTAGTTATTACAAGTAAAAGCCAGGCTCCTTTTTAACAGATAAAGAAAGCAAGATCAAGAGAGAAGAGTTCTAAAGGTAATAACTCACTAAAATTAAGAATGGGCTTTAATTCTAACAAAGTACAAAACTTGACAGGGATTACAGAATGACCTTATAGTCCTCCTGGGTTTTATAGGCAGAAAAACCAAGGTCAGGCCAACATTCTTCTGTACCTTTCTATTCCCCAAACTGTAACTCAAAACAAAAACAAAAACAATTTGCACAGTGTGTGCAATGTTCTATCCTTAGCCATGTAAGCAAATACTGGGTTTCAATTTGCTGAACATTACACAGACTCGTTCATATAATCAGAATGGCAGTACGATATGACATTAGAAAAAATAAAATACTTCAGATTAGAACACTGTGTGGGAATAGTTAATTATCAAAATAGTCACCTAATGCAAAACTTACTCTAAAATGCAAAAACTTTCATTTCTTTTACTCACCTCTTCAGAATAATCTGATTCTGACAAGGACTCAGATGATGACGGTTTATCTTCAGGATATATCTTTCTTTTTTTGGTAAGTCCTTTAATGTCCTGTGAAAAGTGAAATATACTTATCTTCACTCAAAAAGATGTAATACTATGTTACACAAATTTTATGCTTCTAAATTCTATTTCTTAATTCTTCCAGTTATCACAAAATTGCCCATTTTTCAATGTAGACATGTCTAACCCTTTAATTCCAAAAGAGCAATGATCTTCTTAAATAACTTGAAAAGAATGACATATCCATTTAGATGTAGGGGCTGGGGATTTAGCTCAGCAGCACAGCGCCTGCCTGGCAAGTGCAAGGTTGTGAGTTCGATTTCTGGTACCAGAAAAAAAACAAAACAAATGAACAAACAAACAAAAAAATAGATGTAATAGCCCCCTTATTTCCTTAACTTACTACATACGACAGAAGTTTGAAGTCAGAAGAAACCATGTAGATGGTTTAAGATTTGGGTCCTTTGTATTCTTATTCTTTTGTTTCTATCCAGTATTGGATGGATGAACTGAGTGTTGCAAAAAATTAATGGGTAATTACGAAGAGGATCTAGAAGGATCTCTACACAGCAATTTCTTTAGTGTATTTAAACTATTAAATCTACATTTTAAAGAACTCTTTAAAAGTTTTTCTTTTTTTGTACCGGGAATGGAACCCAGGGCCTCGTGTTTGCCAGACAGGTGCTGTGCCACTGAGCAACATCCCCCCAGCCCTTAAAAGTGTTTTTCAGGTTGAGAAGATGAGTGATCCTGAGGAAGGAGAAGGGACTGAGAGTGGGAAGAGTATTTAGGGACTGAAGCACTTTAAGAAATAAAAATTCAAGCCAGGTGTGGTGGCACAGCACTCAAGATGCTGAGGCAGGAGAACGGCCATGAATCTGAGGGCAGCGTGTGCTACACAGCGAGTTAAGGGCCAGCCTGAACTGTAGTTCACAGCAAAACCCTGTCTCAAAAAATAAATAAAGATTATGAAAACATCTGAAGAAAGTACAGCAAGATATTGAGATTTACTGGGGTTACAGAGTGAGCATGCTGATTACCATTTCATTAATGTTTCATATACTTTTTTTATATATCTTAAGTAGCGCAAAACACAAAGCCATAGAACCACCTACTTTGAGCTACACAAAGCTACCCTGACACAGAGAAAGCAAGATACAAAATTTTGGGGGCTGGGGATATAGCTCAGTGGCACAGCACCTCCCTGGCAAGCATGAGGTCCTGAGTTTGATTTCCAGCACACACACACAAAAACACGCCAAAAAACAAAACCCAACCCCCCTCTCCCCACCATCCCTCAAAAAAAACAAGTAAAATCTATCAACAGATAATGCACAGATAATGAGATGTGAATGCAACTGAAGAGGTTCAACGCCCTATGTACCCTCAGCTGGCAAAAAACGAAGCCTCACAATGCTGACAAATATGTGAAACAAGGGGACCTTCATACACTACTAGCAGAAATGCAAAGTATTAACAAGTACCTTGGTGAACAAAGTATAGTTCAGTTCAACGTTTGTACCTCCCAGAATACAGAAATTATAGTCCCAGGTACACCTTAGAAAAGTAACAGTAACCATGGGCCTATACATGCGTTTGAATAGCATGCACCAGGTCCCAAGATAAAAACACATTAACACCAAAACAAAACAGAACAACCCCAAGCAAGCAAACAAAAAACTCGAAGCTGAAGTGTGTAGAACATTCATTCTATGTACATGGGTATTCATTATATGTGAATATTTGAAGTACTGCTAAAATCACCGTGCAGTTGTTTTAGTATTCTATGTGTATTACCAGATTTTAGGTTCACAGTTACCATTTTAAACATGAAAGTAATCATTTATTTTATAGTGGTTTTGAGTATCAGGAATTAATGGTAAATTACAACACATCTTTTGGGCAATTACTGAAATCATATGGCTTCCTTCCTTTTACAATTAGTTGTAGATGAGGCATGCCATGTGCCCCAAGCCCAAAGTTCCAACTACTAACTACTCAAGAGGCTGATGTAGGAGGATCTCTTACGCAGAGTTTGGGGCTAGCATGGGCAACATAAGGAGACCTTGCCTCTCAAAAAAAACACATGTCCATGTTCTGTATGTATGCATGTATATATGTATGTGTGTATTTATTTATTTGTCTATTTACAGACAGGATCTTTCTATGTAGTCCAGGCTGGTCTTGAACTTACTATGTAGCTCAGACTGGCCTCAAACTCAAGTGATCCTCCTGCCTCAGCCTCCAGGGCTGCATGATGTTTTGCACCTAATCTTAGCCAAAAGGCCGAGAAGCGATAATGCCCGATATTTTGTAATTTAAAGAACCTGCTTTAAAGAAATAAAAATAAAGAACCTGCTTTAAAATGCCTGAGGAGCTGGGTGTGGTGTTAACACCTATAATCCCAGCTACTTAGGAACCTGAGACCACATGCTCCAGGCCGGTCCAGGGAACTTGGCAGGACTGTCTCAAAATACCCACGTCAGCTCCACATGATGAATGCAATCACCTTGTCCTGCAAACAAGTGCTAACAGAAGTAAAAATTTACAAAAGGGAGTGGGAAGGTGCAACTTTACGTTGTACTGCTAGCCCTTTAACTAAACTGCTGAAGCTGCGCACCTCACTTAAATACCTCAAGCACTGAGAGCTCATCCCACCTTCTGCCACATTTTCATTGACTGTTAACAGAAAATACAACTTCATGCCAAATTTTAAATTTCTCATACTCAAAATTCTAAGAAAGAAAACTAGAAGAGCTACAGTGTAGTTGTGTGGTAGAGCCAGGCCCAGCATGCTTGAGGGTCTGGGTTCAAAGCCAAGGCCGCAGTGGGTACCACTGGAAGAAATAAATGTTTAATCTCTTTCATTTTGTTTTAAAAATCAGAGATAATTCATCCAATGATAGAAATTCAAACTTTCTACATGAATACTCTCCTGACTTTTACTTTCAAAATTGAAAGCAAATTAAAAAAATTTCTTTACCATCAACATGAAATGCCATAAAAGCAAAATAAGTATTTCCAAGTTAAAAATGGGTACACATTAGAGTTCATTTCTTGAAGTCAATTAAATGTTGTACGACAGACTGTCTTAAGGTTATGTAAAAATATAATTACCTTTTCTTTCTCAGTTGCCTCCTTTGACTTCCTTTTCTTTTTTAAACTATCCTAAACAAACAAACATATGTATTACATCACTTTTCAATGTAACAGATACACCACTGCAGAACAAGGACAAAAACTCAAAACAATGATATGCTCTGTGATTGAAAAAAGTTTACTCCAATACCAGCATATTATTCTTAAAATACAAGAGCAATCTGTTAAGTAGGTATTTGGCTGTAAGTCAACAGGCTTCTTATCAAACCTATGTATCCTTAAAATTGTCTGAAATACAGAGGTTTAAAATAGGACTTAGTGTCACTGCTGGCCTCTGCCTCTGGTGACCATGTGCACTGGAGTTCTTTTTCTTTTTTTTGAGACACAGTCTTGCTGTGTAGTACAAGCTGGCCTTGAACTTGCTTATGTAGTCCAGGCTAGTCTCAATGTCATGGTTTGTGTCTGGATGTCCCCCAAAGCCTCATGCAGTCATGGGGGTGGCTTCTGGAGTTTATGATTGATTCATGGTCCAGTGCTGGGATTATGGGTGTGAGTGCTACACCCACCCTGGGGAGAGTAGTTTGCACACAATGTAAGGGACAGAAAGAGGCTGCTTGTTGCCTTCCTCTCCCTTTTTTGCTTTGGTTGCTTTTGCTGTCTTCTACAACCATGAACTGTTGCCCTCTGCCATGTACCACTCTGCCTTGGAGCCAGCTGAGTATGGACTGAAACCTCCACAAACTGTGAGCTAAATAAACCTTTCCTTTCTTTAAAAAAAAAAAAAGAAAAAAAAAAAACCTCATGGCGATCCTCCTGCCTCAGCCTTGACTGCTGGGATTACACGCACGTGCTGCTACACCAATCTGGAGTTCTAAATCATGATGTACTCAGACATCCACAAGTCTGATTTGCCCACTCTTCTCATCAGGTGGGGAGGCAAGAATTTCTGCTTTTACTCCCTTAATTCTAGTTAGAACCTCCCCAACCCTGTTTCTTTATGCACAAAGTAGATTCACAACTTCTTCCTAGGGCTGTTAAATGGGCTAGCACTCAACTGTTCAGAACAATGTCTAACACAGAGTAGGCACTCAATAAATGTTAGCTATCATTATGATAAGATGCTGCTTAGGGTTGAAAGACAAAGAAAACAAATACTTATTACTTTTTAGGTGTTAGGCATTTTGCCAGAGGAAAGTTTACTGGGCCAAGTAGATAAAAATCTATAAAATCCAAACATTTTGTCTAGTTTCCTGAGACCTTAGTACCGTATCTGTCAAATCACAGTTCATGGGTACCCCTGTGTCAGAACCACAGAGGCCACCTGCTAAAGACGTATACTACTTCTGAGCCTAAGCAGACTTGAAAACTTCAGCTCTGGATATGAGAGTCCAGGAACGAACTTTTTTTTCCAGTGCAGATGATTGAACACCGGGCCTTGGAACATGTGAGGCAAGCACCCTACCAGCAAGCTGCACCTCTGGCCTGTGGAATCAACATTTTTCTTGAACACTACATGCCTTTACAAAGATGACCTCTAAAGTTCGAGTGACAATTCTGCGTACGTTGGTACAAAACAAATTTAGGGACGGTATAGCGTGAAGGGCACCAGACCAGGTATTTGCAGATACTGATTCAACCTTCACTTTTAACACTAGTATGAATTTAAACAAGATTTTCTTTTCTGAACTAAAACTTCTTTAAGGAAGTGGGGAAAACACTATCACAGACACATGATACTTATGAAAATACTTGGAGAGAACTCTTAAATGCTACTTGCAAGATATTAAGTACATCAGTTAAATGGCATAGAACATCGAAGTACAAAATCAAATAGTATCTCTTTTCTGACATGACAGCAATTTATCCACATAACAGTTTACCCCAAGCATCACTTGGGGCAGCATTTCTGTTTATGTACAATCTCGAGCATCGCTTGGGCAGTGTCATTTCAACCAGCTAGTTCTTGTACAGAATAAATATAATAAAATTGTCATTTTGATATATCCTGTTACTTTATAAAAATTAACGACAAAAACATGTCATTTTTGGTCACCCTGTATTTAAATAATTGGACTGGTAAGTGGTTAAGGCAGTGAGAAATAAAAGGAAAACTTAAATGTCTTTGCTATCAAAAAACAAAAATTTAAGTAATTTTTTTTTACCTTACTGTCTGACTCAGTTTCTGACAGGGAGCTTTCAGAAGATTTATGTGAACGATTCTTCTTTTTCTTTTTCCTTTTTGCTTGCTTCTTCTCCTACGTAAAAGATTTTTAGAAACATATGCTTTCAGTTTCAGAAATATAATTTATGCATTTTATTAAAACTTTACTAATGAACAAAATTTAATAAAAGAACCCAGCTTTTAATTACTATTCTTTTAATAGTAATTACTATTAATTATTATTTAATTACTATTCCTAATATGGTACTAGGAATTCTGCAGTCAGCTATATCCTCTGCTCTTTTTATTTTGAGAGAAGGTCCTATTCGGGCTGGAATTTCAGGTGTGGGCTAGGACACCTGGCTTTAATTGCTATACTTAATGCGGCACACCACTTTCCTGTTGTATTCAAAAAAAAAAAAAAGCAAATGATTTGAATCACATATAATCCTGAGCATCCAGTCCAAAATCATTTTAGATTTTTCAAATCTTTTTCTTCTGATTTTTTAAATAAATAAGTTTAAAAGACTTAAAATATGCATACACACCAATATTTAAGTATCTCATCATTCAATATACTCATGCCAGTGCTCAAAGCTATGGAAAAATAATCAAAACCTGCAAGTAAACATTCCTAAGAGATATTTCATAGTAGGTGTCCTTTTGACATTAAGTAGGCTAGAGATATTACTTCATGAATTACTTTAAGCAAACCTTACCTCATCCTCAGAATCTGAAGAACTGCTGGAAGAATCAGAGCTTGATGAAGAAGAAGATGAATACTTGACCAAGCACAAAACAATTAAAGCTTGTGAGATGCGGAAATTGTTTTCTTTTACTAAGTCTCTCAAGTACTTAGTGAAATCAATCTAGTATCTGAGAAACAGACGCCATATTTGTCAGATTTTAAATATCAAATCTTAAAATCATACCACCTCCCCCCAAAAGGCTCAACCAAGTGACAACATATGCGGCAGTGGTCATCAACTGCCCTCTTTTACTAGCAACCAAGGAGTTGCTAGGTTGCAGGGAGACTGGCATCTTTCCTCCCTGTCACTGAGAACCTCACCACCCATCACATCATCATTTACAGAGCCCACGAGAGCTTTGAGCGTACAGATTAAATCAACTATTCTTACTTCTTCTGTAGGCTCTTAATTGTAACACTGAGAAAAATGGAAAACTTTTGCTCACCCTACCAGATTTCTTCTTTTCCTTCTTCTTTCTCTAAATGGAAATAAATACAAGTCTAAATAAGTCAATGTGAATTTTCAAATCCATCTGTCAAGCGTAGTCTACAGCATTATTGTGAAAATCGAAGTATGACATTACAGTAAAAATAGTATCACCTGTTTTTTTTTGGATGAGCTCTCATTTCCACTTAGTAATTTCTCCCTGTGCTTTTCTAGTTCTTTCTTCCAGTTCTGTAAAAAGGGTACAGACACCATTAGAGGCTATCAGTCCCTCTAACAGACGTAGTATAGAAAAACCACCACTACAGTACTTCCTTCCCCTCACCCTTTAATACTCTCACCTAACTCAGCTTCGAATTACAGTTGAGAGGTAATCTAAGCTGGCACCAAGGCAGTCATCACCAATCCAAGGCGGTCATCTCCGCCTGTAGTCCTAGTCATTAGGGAAGCTGAGGCAGAAGCTTCTTTGAGCCCAGCAGTTACAGGGCAGCATAGGCAATATATTAAGACCTTTTCCCAAAAAGAGATGCTCTTGATACTACTAGCTCTTTCTCTAGCAGATACTAAGGGATGGGAATTCCCCAGTGCACAGTGAGAGGTGTAACAGATACTATTAGTGAGGTTAAGGCCTGTTTTCCTTTTAATAAAGGTAACAAGAATCTCTTTCTAGGCTCTAAAAGCTGAATTATTAATTTTTACTGTAACTGACATAATACACGTTTGTATACCAAACAAGCCAACATCACCATGAAATCTGAGGGTAAAATAGGGAATGCAGGAGGAAGAACTCAACATTTAGACAATGTAGATGATAAAATTACAAGACAATTATTCTTTTTTTTTTTGCTAAAAGAAAACACACATTTAAATACAAACCTGCACTCAATATGGCAGAAGTCCTAAAAAACAAAGCCCTCTTATCCTAAAGAGCTGTGGCTTTTATGGTAAGAAAAAGATTAGTTTATTTGTTTAAAAGAGTACCATTTACAAACCTCATTCATTTTTTCTTCAAATTCAGCCAAAGCCTTGGAGCCTTTCTTTTTCTTTTCTAGTTGCTCTTTCACTTCTTCCCTTAAAAAACAGAATGTACAAGTCATTTTCCATGCATTTCAAATTTGACTGAAGTTAAATATAACAAAAATTTCACAACTCTATTTTTACTAACAGATCTCCACTCCAATATTAATACATTTTAAATTTCTTCATCCACACAAGTAAATAATAAAGTCTATCATATAACATAGTCACTCCCTTCTAAATATCAATTTTAAGAGTTAACAAATCCAACATCTGAGCACTCCCATATGATATTCACTGTTTAAATACATTTTCATTTAACCCTCACAATACCCTGTAAGAAAAGTCGGCATGTACTCCTGCTTTTTCAGATAAAGAAACTGAAGCTTAGAGGAGCTACGTAACCTAAGGTCATAAAGCTGATAGTTTCACTGCAAGGGTGAGCTGGCTGGATTCTATTACGAAATCTCCCATTTTATAACATACCCGACCCATTTGCAGAGAACAGTTAACACAGCATCCCAGCTGCTTATTCACAGAAGCCCTGCTTATTCGTAGAAGCCCTGCTTACAAGACCGGCCAAGGTGGTGACCTGGCAATTTGGATTTCAGAAGGTTCTTACCATTCACTGATTAAGAGCTGCTTACTCCCTAAACTGCCTGTACAAACAATACAGCTCGGGCTGAGCGTGCTGTCCTTCTTGGAACCCGGGATTTTGGAATGTGACAGGCAGTCTGACCACCCCAGTGAAATGCCTGGACACGGGGTCTCTAATGAGCCTCCCAGGCTGGCAACATCACAGGGACGGCCATTGCTTCCTGCTGGGAACAAGTGTGTCTTGTAGGGCTGCATGAGGACTCCACCAGCCTTCATTCCGTGGACCTTTTCCCACTGTGGACTGTGCCTGCTATTCTTTCACTGTAATAAATCTGAGTCCTAGGATGAACTAATGTGAGAGCTGCCTTAACGCTGACACACATATAATATGCCTGTTTGGGCGCTTCCTCTTTCAAACTCACCATTTCTCTTCATTTTTACAGTAAAATATGCTTTGTTCTGGGGTCATTTATTTTCTGGTATACGGCAATGGTTAACAACAGCACTCATATACTTAAGAGGAAGACAAGGCTTACTTCCCATTTAACCCAAAAAGGAGGAGTCCCTGTTATAAATAAGCACACTTTTCTTTTTTTTTTTCAGCCCTTTTGAGACAGGGTCTTGCTACATAGCCCGGCTGGCACTGAACTCATGGCAATCTTCCTGCCTCTGCCTCCTGAATGCTGAGGTTACAGGTGTGCACCACTATGCCTGGCATAAGCACACTTTTTAATCACTGCTGACCAGTATCCAGGATAACCTAGAAGGACTCTGAAGTTACCTACTTTGAAGCTTGTCATATATCAGAGTGTATGGTATTATTAATATAAAAGATACACTGTAAATGTACTATGATGCTTTATTTACAAAAGGCCAGAGATATCTGATGAGTTTTGTTGATAAGCCAGCAGATAAAACTAGGAATAAGAATAAACATCCTTTCTAATATCTGGTTAAATAGCAATGAAGGGCCCAATTACTCAAGTAGAGAAAAGGCTCTGGATTAAGGTACATCCTTTTTTTTTTTTTTTTTTTTTTAATTTTGAGACAGGGATTCACCAAATCACTGTGTAGTCCAGGCTAGGATGGAAAGTACAATCCTCCTGCCTCAGCCTCTCAAAGAGCTGAGACAACATGTGTGCCCGGCTCAAACTCATTATTTAAATAGCTTAGAACCCTGCAAGGTTAAGTAAGGTCTTTGAGGGAACAGGGAAGATTGCTATAGAAAGGTCACCGGCACTACCTTAGATTTACTGGGTGGTGGGTGCTCAAGGGTTTTACAGTTGTGCATATGTTTCATACATCCAAAAGAAAGCGCATGTAACATCGCTTAGCTGGCAATGAGGTGGCAAACAGTAAAAGTCACATGAGTACAAGTTTTCAAAGTTTAGAAAGCTTATACAGAGGCAAGCTGTTTCACAAATACCAGGTAGGCCTGGGTCGGTTCAGATAATCCTGGATTGTTGGCCCCGAAGACTGGATTGGACCCCTTGATCTGGCCATTGCTATTGGATTCATGTAGGCCTTGAAGAAAAAACAAATTAGTTCCATTAAAAGAGCTATTAAAAATGTAAAATCTCACTTATATCAAGCAACCTTTTAAATAAACTCATACAACTAAGCATAAACCATCTGACTAACCAATCTTTTATTCTAACAATAAATCTAATCTCTTCTGCCTTGAAAATTTGAGGTAAGTAATACTACTTTAAGAAAATGAGCTGCTGTTTTGAGAAGCTTGAAACAACGGCTCATCCTCCCTACAGACGGCATTAGCGGCTTTCCCTTAAAGCCCCGAACCTGTGAGGCGCTTCACACTGCACCTGCTGACAAACGAAGACCTTCATCCCAAGGAAGCTTACAGGCAACTAAGGCTGAATTTATGGCATATGCCACCATCCCAGGAAATACTGTTATATTAATGACAATTTTATTTGCAAATTGCAAACATCAGAAATTAAGTTATATACAGGCAACAACAAAAGAGGACTTCAAGAAAATTAAAAGCTTTGTACATAAAAGGACAGTATCAACTATCAAAAAGAGAAGACAATCCAGACTGGAAGAAAATACTTCAAATAATCTGAGAAGAAGTTAACATTCAGAATATATAAAGAGATGCTTACAATGACAACAAAAAAAGTCCCAAATAAACCAATTCAAAAATGTGTAAAGAGGAGCTGGGGATTTAGCTCAGCGGCACAGCGCCTGCCTGGCAAGCGCAAGGTCGTGAGTTTGATTCCCGGTACAAAAAAAAAAAAAAAAAAAAAAAAAGAAATGGGTAAAGCATTTAAGTAGACATTTCTCGCCGCCAATAAACACATGAAAGTGTTAGAGCATCACTGCTCATTAGGGAAAGTGAAAGAAACACAGGCCATCTCATAGCCATTAGCATGGCTATTGTCAAAACAACAGAAAGTCATTCTGCCCTTTGTTGGTGGGAATATAAAATAGTTGTTGTGGAAAACAATGTGGTAAGTTTCTCAAAAAGTTAAAACACAGAGCTGGGTATGGTGGTGCATACATTTAATCCCAGCAGCCTGGGAGGCTGAGGTAGGAGCCTCACAAGTTTCCTGTCTCAAAATTTACAAATGGGGGTGGGGAGCTGAGGATGCAGCTCAGTTCAATCCCCCACTATGAAAAGAAAACAAAAACAACCCCTGCAAGAAAGAAAGCAAGCAAAAGATTTGTTAATGAAGTGTTTTCATCAGAGGCATTGTTTTATTAAAATTCATTTTGCAACAAACAAATCTGATCTTTAATTCAATCTCTTCATCTTTACATTTGACTTTCCTGATTTAACTCTCCAACAAACAGAAAGCTCTCCTATTTTTTAATTAAAAAATACTTTATCATAAAAAGATAAAAAATCATTTTTGGTTGAAAATGACTACTACTATCAAGGTTCACACCTAACAATGTATTTCTTAAACTGTATTTACCGAAGTCTGTAAAAGTGACCATTTTCACCTTACAACAAATGGTACACACTCCAAGATTTCTCTGGCAGAGAACAACAGAAAACCCCATAAACACATCCTGAAAATTACTTCCATTCAGGTAACACAGCCTAATTACTTGGGAACAAAAACAGACCTTTGACATAATTTTCCTTCAAGCAAGAAGGAATGCTGTGGGTGTTTGAAGATACGGATATCACACGCAATGCTAACGACAGGCATTTTTAAGAGAAACTATTACACCCTCAGTATTTCATTCAACTGCGTCTGCCGAACACTGAGTTAGTGTGGAGGCTGCAGTGAGGGGACCCTTAGCCCAACACACACCACCGACAACCCCAGGGAGCGGAAGCAAGCGCCGTGCAACACGCGGGCTAAGTCCACCATTTGTAAAACAGGAGCAGTATGCACACCTGTCTTCTTATTTCTTGGTATCATGTCATCATAATTTTAGTGATGCCTAATGGTAAAATATTTTGAAGTATTTTAAGTTTAAAATTGTAAAAATTATCTACTTCCGAAGACTGCAAATATATAAAAAATAAAAAAGAATGTTCAACAAAATTACAACAGCAAACACTGAAAACACCCATGCCATCATCAAACTAGGACTCATTAAATATGTTAGTATATACTCCCCAAATGAAATACTATATAACCAGTAAAAGAAAAATGAGGACAACTATAGACCTATATAGTTCTTCATATGGAAAAATACCCCGAGATTTCCCTAACTGAATAGCAAAAGTAAGCTGCAGAAAAAAAAAGTTTAACAAGTAACTACAAATTTTAAAAAATCTGAATGTATTTGCAAAATGTAAAGGAAGACACCCCCTTTTACCACTCGATATACTAGAGGATTAAAAATTTTGAAATAACTCATCATCTTTATCAAGGAAAACGTATTTTACATATATATGAACTATAAAGATAAACAATAAAAAATTCAACCATAATTCGGAGAGCTGACCTGTGCCGTATAAAAATTCAGAGTACAGTAACAATTTTTTATTTCCATTAGCTCTCAAATTTTTAACATATCTTAAAGTCTTAATGTGAAGTCAAACTGCTTTCCCAAAGCTTACTTTCACTGGAGAGAAAACTAATAGCACTGTAATATATTTAAATGGCAGGTCTTTCAAATATAGACAATTTAAGGTACAATTACTTGAATTACTGGTAAGAGTAATAAAGCTCACTTTTAAGCTTTCCACCATAAACACTATCTTCACTCTGCTGATGTACACTCCAAATACTGTATTTCAATTATTTATTTCAATCACAATAGATATATTTATTAAGTGTATCTTATACACTAGGGCCCATGGAAAACACTATTCTGTGCTCTTAATCATTAAATAACATTGCATCTTTCTACTGCACATCATGAAGTTTTTAAAACAAAAAAGTATTTTACAAAAGTAAGAGTCTTTTCACGTATGCAACAGTGAGAAAAACACTTCTAACATTAAGGCAGAGGGTGGTTAAGTATAGACACTGCATTTCTTTAAACATGGCATCATCATGACTTAGTAGTTTTAAATATAGCCACCCTGTAAATCAAAAATTCCTATTCTTATGTGATTAGAACTGTCCATTGCTCCCCACTGCTGTGTGAGTTTGGGGAATAGGAAATGAGTCGTTACTGAAACTGGGCACAACAAATTGCACTCAGGGGATGTATAGGAGGGCAGGGAAGAAAACAGCAATGCACCACAACTGCTAAAAACACAACATGCAGAATTTTGTTACTCTGATTACCTGTTTTTATCTAACAGGTACATATATTTTAAAGGGCAAAAATAGAAAAGAACATGAAGGAAACTTCCAGAGAACCACAGACCCAAAGGGTGGCCATCACAAACTTAACCTTTTAGAGATCCTGTGAATTAAAATATTCAGTTAAAAACACTGTTCAAGAATAAACACCAAGAGAGCAGGGTGTGGTGGTGCCTGCCTGTAATCCCAGCACTTGGGAAGCTGAGGCAGGAGGATGGCTTTGCTGGGAGTTTGAGGCCAGCCTGAACTATATAAACCATGTTTGAAAAACAAAACAAAACAACGAACAGGAGGGAACCCCAACGTAAACAGTGGACTCTGGATGACCATCATGTGTCTTTATAGGTCCATCAACTGTAATAAATATCACACTGCTGGTAGATATTGACAATGGGGGAGGCTGCATATGCGTAGGAGTACAAGGTCCTGGGTTTGATCCCCAGCACCACAAAAAATAAAAATAAAAATAAAAATCAAGAGCTACGATGTCAGATGAGCCAAGTTTTGGCCTCAGTTTAAACAGTCCCATCTTCCTCTACGCAGTGAGGACTGAAGTGGACCATCTGTGTCTTCTACTCTTAATTTCATGCTTTCCTTCTCATAGCCTTTGAAGTCCAAAGTAAATGTTACTGGAACAATCTGTGCAGGACAGCACGTTAAAAAAAATACATGGAGTTGTTATCCAAATGCTCCAGTAAATGTAGCTAATTTTCTAAATTTTCAAATGCCTCAGGGGGTGTGTAAACTAAATAAAGCTTTCTTCCCCGTAAAATGCAACATTCTAGGTCCCTGTAGCAAACTGCCCCCAAAGTTAGATAACTTCTAAGCACTCAAAACCGACGGCATTAAGAGAGGCTGAACACTCCAACACCTCAAACCTCGGAGTGCCCCAGCACAAGACCATCAGATGGTCATCCACATAGCACAGCAAGGCCTCATCTGCAGCCAGGACAAAAGAACTTCCCTCGTTCTTGTAATCAAGGGTCACTACCACAGCGTTCCTAGGCATTTTCAATGACAAAGACCGTCGAAAACGAAAACAAACGTTTCTAAAATGAGAAGCAACTTGGCAGGCAACTTGACGCAGGAGGATCACTGCAAGTTCGAGGCCAGCCTGGACTACAATTTTTTGGGGGGTGGGGTGTACTGCGAAAAAAAAAAATGAGAAGCAGCCATTATGTCACAGAAGGCTTTTTTAGCACAAATACATGCACCTGCAAATAATCGTTTAAAAAAAAAAATAGTTCACTGACTGAGGAATACTACCTTTAAGTTCATTTTTCTCATTTTACTGTTACTGGTTAAAATTTTGTCACAGGCAAACCCGGGAACCGTCAGGCTATAACCTATTATTACTATTCGCTTATGTTTACTAGTATTACTATTCGATTATGTTTACTTTCTGCTACGACTTACTTGTGGATCTTTTTTTACAAGAGTAATAATTGTCATGCCCAACATTCACTTGGGCATATTGCTTTCTGTGGTCCTACCCCGCAAGGTTATTGATAATAATTATCTCTCTTTATAAGTAAATTTTAAAAAACCCAGAAAACCCTTAGGCTCAGAGAAAAACAGCAGCTTGTCCTAGGTTATCTAACTTCCGAGGGACCAGAGGTGATATTCCCTTCTGTGCAGGACTCCAAAACCAATTCTTTCCACGCCATTTATCCCTTTGCAGGTCTGTTAGCGCCACGAGTGTTGGAGACACGAAATCAAACCCTGCGATCCCGATCTCAGACGCGGGGCCGCCCTGCCTCCACCCGGGAGCTCTCCCGGGCCCCCGCGCCTCCATCCCATCCCGGACGCGAGTCGGGGGCGCCGAGCTGCGAGGGACTTCCCCGACCTCCTAGCGGATGGGAGCGACCCCCGCGCCCCGAGCCCGTGAGGCTCTACACATCGGGCGCTGCTAACCCTGGCGAGGGAGGAAGGGAGCCAGGGAGCAGGGCCGGGAGCCGCGGGGCGGGGAACGACGGAGCGGGCGGAGAGCGGGACCGCACGGCGCCGACTGCGTGCGCGGCGCACGCGCAGC